TTTTAATTTAAATATATTTTATTTTTTTTATTAAATTATTGAATTTTTCAATATGATTAAAATTAAAAAGAAAAAATTAAATGATATGCAATATTTTAATTATAGAATTGATTTAAATTCTTACAATTACTTTTATCTTAAACTTTGACACATTCTAAGAGTTTTTTAGTTCTTAAAATAGAAAAAAAAAAATTTTGAAATTAATTAAATAATTAATTACAAACAGGTAATTGTGAAAACAATTTCATTACTGAGAATCATAGATTTTGTTACCTGCAGATAAATGATATAAAGAGTTTAATATATTTTTGCTATTTGGCTCTAACAATACTTTGATTATAATTAAATTTCGGCTTTAAACTTGATAAATTCATCAACAATTTATATCATACAAAGGTACAGTTAACAGCCCTTGTTAAAAAAAATCAAGTTGAAAAAATTGAAAATGATTTGAGCTGACTATACTATTTAGATATTATGGACTTTGCATGAATCGTTTAATAAAATTTATTGCAAATCATTCCAGCAATAACATTTTAAACAAAATTTTTTTACTTTTTAAAACCAATTAAAAAATAGTATAAATTCTGATTACGCCAATTTTTTCTACAACACCGTAAGTGTCACTCATCTATGAGTGTGTTCTAGTATTACTTAAAATTTTCTTGCTAATCCACTTAAGATAAATCTAACTGAACTAAAAACGATTGACAGTTTCACTTTTTATTTAGATAAGCTAATATATGAATATGCTTTTATTAAAGTGCAAGCATGTATCAATAATTTTTTAGACTCATCGAAAATTTTCAATTATTGTCAATGCAAAAAAAAAAACCCTTAGATAATGTTGACTTCATGATTAAGTAAATGCTTTAATAAAATGAAGTGGCATATAATCTTTACTTGTACAACGAGTAAGTTATTTTTGTGCTAATAAGCGAAAAATTGTACACTGATGAAAGTATTCTAAGTGATTGATAAATTTGCAATGCATCAATTTTAGTTTAAGGGGGTAATCTGGTCTAGAAGCATGAAATTTCAGGTAATTCTTAAAGTGCCGTAAAAAAAGGCAATCAATATTTTTACTATCCATTTTTTTATAAGTTATTTATTAACATTATAAGATTACAGAAAAAAATAAAAAAAGTTGAAAATTAAAAAAATTAGCACGTGACTATATCCACAATTTCAACCCTTCTATCAATCTGAAACAAAAAAATAAAAAATATTATTAATCTAGAGTAATGTCGCTATGGTTGGAACTACGGGAATGTTGAAAAAAAATTTTTTCACACAATGGCGACTGCCTGAAACAAAAACATTTTTTTTACCACTTTTTTTGACTTTTTCAAATTTTTAAAAAATAGTAAAAATTGAAATTTGGGGATGACCGTAGTTCTAACCATAGCGACATTACTCTAGATTAATAATCTTTTTTATTTTTTTGTTTCAAATTGGTAGAAGGGTTGGAATCGTGGGTATAGTTACGTGCCAATTTTTTGAGACCCCTCCACTTCATCAGCTACTAATTTTTTGAATCTTCAACTTTTTTTTGCCCCAATAAATGATCATTTACCAGTATATGATCACTCCATGTATTTGTATACCTAATTTGTGAATATAGATATACAAATACATGGAGCGATCATATACTGGTACGTGATCATCTATTGGGGCTTTTACCTTAATGTTAATAAATGACTTATAAAAAAATGAATGATAAAATTTTGATTGCCTTTTTTTTACGGAACTTTAAAAATTACCTGAAATTTTATGCTTCTAAACTAGAATAGCCCCTTTAAAAAAAATTTTTTTGTACAGGCATAATTTATATGAGTGTAAGTAATCACCTGAGATTATCTAAAATCTGATTGCGCTGTTTTAAATTTGGAAATCATTAAAAAAATATAAAAAATTCTTCATGTTCGTACATACATATGTAAATATGCAGTAAGAATACAATAACTAAGAATATACTTCCCACGCAAAGAACTGCGTCCCAAAATTATTGGTTGTCATAAAGCGTCTTGTAAAACCGAATAAACTTTTTCTGCAAGCGCTAAGTGATCATCAACACCACAATATTGTGGTGGTACTATCTTATAATTTTAAAAGCTACACTACGGTTGTTTCATACGCCTTGTATATTGTTGGGTGATTTATTACTATGGTTAAATTAGTCAATGAATCAATTGCTAATTTTATTGTGAAAAAATTAATGGTGTATGAAGTGTAGGTATATATTTAAATAAATAGTATGATAATATTTTTCATATCAAATGTATTCGAAGATATTTATATCGTTTGTTATTCATCGTGATATTTTTGCTAATAATTAATGTTTTTATTTTACTAAGTCCAATTTATAGAAACATCTAAACCATAATTTGCATACACTATTTCTCATTGAAAAGCTACTGCATAGACAGATTTAAAGGATGTAGTAGTTTACTCTATTATTTCTTCAGGAAGATAATAAAGACAAGTCACGTGTCTAGCGAGAATGCTCAAAAATTCTTTAATTTAGCTTTAATTTTCATGACACTGAAATTAGCAGACACTTGACAATTTTTTGGTTTTTCTTGAGAAATATACTAGGTCTAGAAAATTATTTAAAAAAAATTGCATTTATAATTTTTCAGAGCTTCTAAAGATGGAAATTTTTAATGATTTTTTTTTTAATATAATTTATTTATTTAAAAAATTCTAAAAATTATCAGATGTCTCTCAATTTCAGTATCATTAATTTTCACCTAAGAATTTCTAATAATGGATGTGTGAAACTTTAAATGCTTACGCACGTAAAGGTTTTAATAAAAGTAATGAATGTTTTAAAAAAATAGTTTCCACCGAGATTTCCAAAATATTCAGTGAATCCTTTGATAAAATTAACCAACGTTAACACTTGAAGGTAATTCCCCAATAAAATCATATCCTATATTCTTCATGAACTAGTCAGAAAAATTTATAAAAAATCTTATTTTATCTAAACTTAATTTAAAAAATAAAGCATTTTTTTTTTAATTCATATTTTATTAGTAACTTTTGTCATTTCATGCTTGATAGCTTACTAAAATCTTTATACAACAATTCTACTAATATCAAAGAAAAAAAAGTTACATATATCAGTGTAAACAATTTATTTTATATAAGAGACTCTGACATAAAAAAAGTATTGGAGTATAATAATAAATAAAAGTATGAAAGGCAAATAATAACTATTTACAAGTATGTAATAAATGGCAAAAAAATACATTCAACAGAAACATAAAATTATATCTATTTTTTAATTAATTAAATATTATTATTATTTAATAATTGTCAAAATTTAAAGAGCGTTAATAAACGCTAGCGAATTTCGCCTATATACATAACGCGTAATCACAATAATAAATAATAATTTTTATTTACTATTTTCAAGTTGGAAAATTTTTATATAATCTTGGAAACAAATAATATAGCGAACATAATTTATTATTGATTTTTTTTTTTATGTTCAATTCGTGATAATATTTATTTATTTATTTATATATATTTATTTTTGTGAGGGGCGAGGGGGAGCGCCGAAATAATTATATAACTTTTAAAATGATTTTCGATATTTCATAAAATATCTCAAGCTCGTGCCTCCATTGATCGTTGTATTAACAAAAAAAAAAAAAATTATAAATAATTGTAAAGAAAAATATATATTCACTCTTAAATACAAATTTTTACTACAACTGACCTTGTAAAAAATGAATTGGTTGAGAAAAATGAGAAACAAATAATATTTTTCACGTCTTACACATTTCTCATACTCATAACAAGTCTTATACATATATGCCTCACTGAATACATATTTATATATAAAGTTAATTTTTTTTAATCATTTACAACAGCTAGTAACGTAATACATTTTTAAAAATAAAGGATAGCACGAGTTTATGCGAAATATCACAGTTATGATCAAGAACCGCAATATAGTATAAAAGCACTCCCCATTACATTACTTAAATACCTAATTCATATTGATTTATTTATTATTATTATTATTATTATAATCTGATTAGCAACAATACTACAAACTACCAGATTATTATTTAAAAAATCATGTTTAATACGACGAGTCATATACAACTTGCTAATGATGCAATCAATTAAACATATACTGACTACTAAATGTTTTAAGTGAATACTGCTTGTATTTTTAATTAAAAAAAAATCATCGTAGCTTTTATATTAACTGCATAGTAGTAATATCATATCAACAATTGTTTATCTCGAGAAAATTATATAAAATAAAAGAACATCGTGTTACCACTTGTGATACCAAATTAAGAATTAATATAAAAAAATGTATAATATAATAAAAAAAAAATCTAAAATCATACTGGTATTCATAATCAACATCAAAAAATATATGAAAAAAAAAAATTAATAATACGCTATTCACATTATATTTTACCATATAAATTTCAATTTAAATTATTATAATAAATTTTATTCGATATCAGGTTATTCTCTTAACCCAGCTATTAAGTATTTTCAAAATAATAAAAAATAAATAAATAATAAATGATTTTGCTATAATAAAAATAGTTGTGATAGTAATAGTAATAATAATGATTGCATAACAGATGAATATATAAAAGACAATCAATTGAAGTAATAGATATTAATCTATTTAATTTATAAAAACAAATAATTATCAATTACAATAAAATACTTCATTATGAATTGTCAAGTATATATTAGCAATAAAATGCAAATCATTTTTTCATTTTTTTCTTAATTACATTTCTTTTACTCTTGAAGAAACATTGCACTGTATATGATTATTACGAAAGTCTTTCCGTATTTTATTATTTCAAGATAAATTATTTGTGACCAACCATTGATAACGATGTGTTTAAAGCTTCAGTCCATTGTTAATTTCTACACCCCAACCAATCAGGCTCATTGATACTTCACTGTCGAAAACTAATATTTTAAAATAAATTATTTGTGCCAAAAATATCCTACTGAGCGGGTGGTTGTGACTCACTAGGCATATTTGGCATATTCGGATTCGGATAAGGCGGTAAAAATGAATAATTAGGATAAGGAGGTGGCGGTGGATGAGGAAATGGAGAATAGTAATTCGGCGGATGAGCTGCTGGTGATGGCGCATATCCACGATGCATATAAGGATCGGCTGCTGGAGGAGGACCGTGAAATGCTGAATACATATGGGCGTAATCGGGATTGTAAGCTGGTCCACCGTATGCTGCATATCCTGGAGCACCTGAAATATTTATTTACAAATTAATACATTAATTAATTATTTTTATTGAAATAATTACGTTACTTTTTAGTAGATTTCATATAAATTTAACTATTGCATTGGTCCTCATGTCGGAACTTTTGAAAAATTTTGCTATATTTCAACTCAGCTCGTCAAGCGGATTTAGAAAATGCATATGGTTCAAAAGTATGATACTGAAATTAGCCGACGTTCAACAATTTTTAATTTTTTTTATTAATTAAATTAGAACTAAAAAAATATTTTTAAAAAATTGCTCAGATAATTTTTAATATTTTCTACATGTGAAATTTTTTCTTTCAATTCTATTTCAACAAAGATTTTTAAGAAAACAAATTATAAAAATTTTCAGATGTCGGCTAATTTAATTTTCATTTCAAAAGTTTATATAGATTTTCTCTTCGACTGTTTTTCCACGTGATAACAATTGGACGCGATATCCTATCACATTTCTATAAATTGCATCTAAAAGCTCGATAAATAAGCTTCAATTTGCATACTTTTTTTTTTTTTTTTTTTTTTTAATTGAATATAGATCAGCAATTTGAATTCTTTAAAATATTAAAAAATTAGTACTTTCACTGATTTTTGCAAAATAACTATTGCATGCGATGACGTGTAAAATTTTTGTGGATTGCATTTAAAAGCTTGATAAATAAGTTCTAATTTGCATGTCTAACCATCGGTCTAGACCAAAAATTAATCAAAACCGATAAAATTGATGTAACATTTTTCCCTTTTTTTTTTTTTTTTTTTAATTGAATATAGATCAGCAATTTGAATTCTTTAAAATATTAAAAAATTAGTACTTTCACTGATTTTTGCAAAATAACTATTGCATGCGATGACGTGTAAAATTTTTGTGGATTGCATTTAAAAGCTTGATAAATAAGTTCTAATTTGCATGTCTAACCATCGGTCTAGACCAAAAATTACCTACTGTCTCTCTGTCTATCTAAAGAAATTTTACTTTTGCATTCGTTATATATAAGGTAAAAGACCCAGTTATTGACACTGAACTAGTTATTGACACTTGCAATTTTATTTTAATGAAATAAAACAAATCGACTCTAATAAATTAATAAATATAATTTTTAAATTATAAATTTTAAGATAATTGGTTTTTTGAGAACATTATTTTTTTTTCACTAGAATAAAATTGCAAGTGTCAATGAACTAGGCCAGTGTCAATAACTGGGTCTTTAACCTTAGTAGATAATTAATTTTTTAATAATATGAAATTATTATTTTAGTCATAATGAAATGTACACGAATCAAAATTGTAGTATCTATTAATAACTTCAGATGTAGACAATTTTTTTCTATTTATTATGAAATCTACTTCCATTTCACCTGCCGAATGGCCTTTTATTTATTACAACGGTAACTTACCACTGGGAGGGTATGATGTAGATGCATTTGGAGCTGCTGGATAGTGTTGAGAGTACGGATTGTATGGCGTTGATGGGTAAGCTCCACCGTATCTATTACTAGCTGGATGACTGAAAGCTGTTGTTATATGTGGATCAGTTCTACTTGGTGTAGTTGTTGGAATTTTCATTGAGGATATAGCATCTGGATTTTTGGCTTCACTCGATTCAACAAGAGGTAATGGTGGAATAACGGTACTAGGTGATTGAGAGTATACTGCAGGTGTCGTTATCGGCACTCTTTCTTCCGAAGGTTTAACTATCTCAGGTTGAAGCTTTGTGATTTCTGAAGGCCGAGCATTTGTAGGATGCGATGGCGGAACAGCTGGAAAATAAGATCCATAAGGAGCAGTTATACTTCGTGACCGAGGATCCGGATAATCATAATATCTCGGATATTGAGTATATGGATAAGTTTGAGGGAGTCCATGAGATTCTCCTGAGGCAGTCTCCTGTAAGTCCGGAGCCCGATCTTTTATAGAAGCTACATTTGGACCAGTAAATGCAGATACTGAAGAGTCACTACTAGAGTCCATTAAGTTCTTTGAAATTTCAGGTCTTTGACTATGTGGTTGAGGTCTTAATAATGATCGCGATGAATGACTGTCTTGAGGATAAAGAGACTGCTGCAATGGTTGTTGTGATTGTTGTTGTTGTGGTTGCTGTGGTTGTTGTGGTTGTTGTGGTGGTTGTGGTTGTGGTTGTGGTGGTGGTGGTGGCGGTGGTGGTGGTGGTGGCTGCTGTTGCGGCGATGGTTGTGGTTTCGGTTGTGTTTGTTGTGATGATTGTTGTGATGGTAGTGGTTGAGGCTGCTGATTATGATGTTGTGGATGTTGTACTAACTGCTGCAATGGCTGTTGTTGCAATGCTTGTTGTTGTTGTTGTTGTAATGGTTGTTGTTGCTGTTGTTGTGGCGGTTGTTGTGGCTGCTGTTGAGGTTGTATTGGCATTGGTAACGACTGTTGTTGTAGTAATTGCTGCTGCTGTAATGGCTGTTTTTGTGGCTGTAATGCTTGTTGCTGTAGAGGCTGCTGTTGCTGTTGCTGTAACGGTTGTTGCATTTGTTGCTGCTGTTGTTGCTGTTGCTGCTGTAATGGTTGTGGTTGTTGTAAAGATTGTTGTTTCTGTAATGGCGGTAGCGGTGGAGGTGGTGGTGGTGGTGGTTGTTGTTGTTGTCGCTGTTGTTGTTGTTGTTGTTGCTGCTGCTGCTGCTGCTGCTGTTGATGTGACGGTTGTTGTTTCTGAACAGTTTGTTGTTGATGCTGCTGCTGCTGCTGCTGCTGTTGTAAATGTTGCTGTTGCATAGGTTGCGTAGAGAGAGAAGGTGACTGAGATACAATGCTAGATGGTTCCTCAATAATAATTTCGTCATTGTCATGTTTATTAAGTTGACTTGGATATTGATGTCTGTAATTTGAAGTTGATAATGAACCTCCAGGTTCTTTCGTTTCACAAGATGCCTCATAAGTTTTATTATCTTTGTGAGTAATCTCAGATTCAATTTCACCATGCTGAGTTTCACCAGTTTTATCAGTTGTTATCGGACTTATTCCATAGTCACGGGACTTTCTCTCAAACCCTTTTTGTAATCCGGATTCTGAATCTGAATTAGCTGCACGACTTTGATTGGAAGGGCTGAACGCAGGATTTGAATTAGCTTCGGCAACTATATCCTCTAATCGAACTTCTTCAACTCGCTGATCTGTACGAGGCTGACTGTCTGATGAATTTGAATTTTCACCAACAGAAGAATGATCCATTGAATCGAATTTTCCTTTAGCAATTCGCTGAAGGGAAACTTGATTATTCAAATTAACTTTCATGGCAGGCACAGGAATAGCTCTTGATCGTTTTGTTAATTCTTTATCAGAATTTAATCTATGATTTACACCGATATTCGGTCTCGATGGTATTCGAGGTGCTGGAGTAGAATTTCCACCAACTTTTGGAATTATTGAAATCGCCGAGTTATTTCTTAAGGGAAAACTCACTTCTGGTTTCATATTTCTTTGGGTTGCTGAAATGAGAAAATTTTATCATGATAAATAAAAAAAATTATGATTTATTTTTTTCTTTTAAAATTTTTATTTAATATATTTAACGAATATGGATATAATTATTAATGAAGACTGACTAAAATAAAATTATATTAAAAAAAAAAATTATTTAGTTTAATTTATAGGATTTGAATTAATAAAAAAAATAATATTAATTAATATAATAATAAATAAAAAAAATTATAATGTTACTTATAAATTACTGTCTTTAAAATTATTACCTTTTTTTGGCTCTTCTTCTCGTTTTTGTTGGTTAATTTTTAATGCAGTTCGAATAGCTATAATTTTACCAGATTCTAATTGCATGTAAATTCCCTTTGGACTCTTTAAAACCATTACTCGTTGACCAGATTTTAATACTATACTACTTTTATCTGGCGAATTAGTTGGAATGACAACGTCTAATGGTAAAGTCATCTCTTGAGCACTCATACCCTGTCGTTGCCAAACTTCTGCAGGAATCCATCGGCTTCCAACAACACCTCGATTTCCAAGACTTTCAGCTCCACGTTGCTGCATTGGTCTTACTGATGCAACAGGCTTAGGTGCTACACCAGTGTCACCTCCGCGTATAGCTCGTATTTGTAATCCACCAGCTATTAAATAAAATTATTAATAAATTATAATTTATATCTTAAATGTGTTTGAAAAAAAAAAAAAAGAAAAAAAAATACTAACCACGAGTTGCAGTATTTCCAGGAACATAGTTATAGCTTGGTTTAGAATTATTAGCTGCCATTTTTTCAAGCTCATAACCCCGTCGAGCAAGACGTTTTTCAGCTTGACTTAATTTTTTATCTTTGCGATCAACAAGAAGACTCTCATGATGAAATGGTTGTTTAGTAAGCAATGAAGAATGACGTTCAAGTACACAATGCATTATTTCATCAGTATAGTCATTTTTGGATGCTGAAAAGTCTTGAACTTGACTATCTTCTTCCCAATCCCATGACAATGTAGTTGCTTCTTTCAAAGATAAATGCGCATCAGGATTACATTGATCGACTACACGATCGGCCATTCCTTGTTTACTAATTTGTCTATCATAAATTTTTCTCTCCAAACAGTTATCAGTAACCAGACGGTAAACATAACAAGGTTTTTGTTGTCCGTATCTATACACACGACACACTGCTTGTGTATCATGACAAGGATTCCATGAAGCGTCAAACACTATCGCTCTATTTGCCCCAACAAGATTGATACCTAACGAGCCGGCTCGTGTTGATACTAAAAAAAGATGAATCTTTGGATTGTGATTAAATTCATTTATTAATTTTTCTCTTTCCAATGCACTTGTACTTCCATCTAATCTATAATAATTAACATTCCTAACCCACGATTCTGTTTGGCCATCAGCATATTTAAAATTATTTCTAGCTAAAAAATCTTCAATGAGATTCAATGTGAATAATGATTGTGAAAAAGCAAGAACGCGGTCACCAATAAGTATTGACTCTTCAAGAATACAAAAAAATAATGACATTTTTGCGGAAGCATCTATTAATCCAGGAACATATCCTTTCATAAGCTCTGTCGCCCACTCATAAGGTATACCGTCTTCTTTTCCTGCAGGTGAATTTTTCAGATCTTTTTCTTCATCTTTCGTTAAAATTTCATCATCTGACTTGTCTTCTTTATCCTTATCCACTTGAGATATTTCATCCTTTTCTTTATCTTCTTCTTTAATTGATTCGAATGAATTATGACAACTATTAATTGCTTGAAATGAATTGATATTCTGTTTAGAATTATTGCTGTCATTACTACCATTATAATTTGTATCAGGATTAATATTTTGAGGCTGTTGACTTTGTACACCAGGATTAATTGTACCCGCATCTTTCGTATTTTTTTCATAACCACCAGTAATTTTTTGATTACGACCAATCAATCCCGGTTGTGTTCCACTATTACTAGGATTGTAATCATAAGACGAATTTTGTTCGTAATTTTGCTGCGGTGGAAAATAATTATTATCATAGCGATTAGCACTTGGATCTCGGTAATACTGATTATTGCACTGATCTTGTCGTATAGGTTGAGAATAATTTCCTTGCCACGAATAATTTTCACCTGATCTTTTACATTGATTTTGATTACTACTTTCCGTAGCATAATTATTAATATCTTGATTTTGCTGTTGAGTTTGATTAACGTGATAATTTTCAGTTAAATTTTGTTGCTCTCCTTGAACTCCTGCAGGAGGTTTACCGGAAGTATTATAACCCATAGGTGGATTAGGAGGCATTGAACTTTGATTTTGAGAATATCTATGCGGTTGATTTTGAGTAGATGAAAGTTGTACCTGTTGATTTGTGGGATAAACGTGACCTTGATTAACTGACGGAGGCATCTGACACTGTTGAGAAATCGATGGGTAAGTAGTACTCCCTTGATTTCCGGTTGAAACGTGATGACTTGCCGGATAACCTTGTTTTGAAGGGGATAAATTTTGTTGATCAGTTGGATATCCATGCGTTTGACCGGGTGGAAATGAACCTGATGGTTGTTGATTTGTTGGATATGATGCTGGGCCTTGTTGCGTAGCATATTGATTTTGTTGTGACGTAGCCTGATATCCATGTGTTTGATTTTGTTGTTGGTTAATTAAATATCCATGGGGTTGATTTTGTGTCATTGCATTTGAGGTGGGCTGATTAGAAGAGTTAATTGGATTAGAGGAGTAAGGTGGTTGATTTTGATTAGGTAAATGCGAAGTCATCTGATTTGGAGGATTTCCTGGTAGTGGATTTTGAATCGGATGTCCTGGCTGATTCATACGACCTGGAGAAGGATATCCGTGTCCCGTATTTGGTAACATTGGATTAATATTTTGTTGATTTAAATGAGCCCCTTGATTTCCTATGTAACCAGTTTGAGGTGGAAGTGGTTGGGAAGCCGGAGGATTTTGTTGATTTGTAGAGTAACCTACTGGCGGTTGATTTTGTATCGATTGGTTTTCATTTTGTGAATAAATTTGTGACGTATTGTTATTAGCTCCAGATCCAGATAAATAATTTTGTGATTGATTGGATTGTCCATAAGAATAATCAGGCATTGGTATATTGGCTGACTGACTCGGCACTGAACTTTTATAGTTAGACGGTTGACCAGTATTTCCAGTATTTTGAGAATATGGTTGATTGGAATTCGGAGGATAATTTCTGTTTTGATCCTGAAAACTATACGGTTGTCTAGGAAACATACCGTAGTTATTAGAATTATTCTGATCATTATTAAAATCCGTATTCGGTTGATTCAGCGGATACTTCTGTGAATTATTGTTATTATTATTATTATTATTATTATTATTAATAATATTAATATTACTATTATTGCTACTGCTGCTATTATTATTACTGTTATTATTACTAGTATTATTACTATTATTATTGTTATTATTATTATTATTACTATTATTTGTAGTAGCAGTAGGAGTATTATTATTATTAGTTTGTTCGTTTCTTGGATTATAAACTTGTGGATTTTGAGAGTAACCTTGCGGCTGATTATAATTAAGATTATTTGTCTGATAAGATTGGTATGATGAAGCTTGATTAGGGAAGCCCTGTTGTCCTTGATTATTATAACAATTATTGTATTCTCTCGTAGACTGATCATTGCGATAATAATTATTCGGATTATTGGGTCGGAAATTTGGATAGCCTTGTGAATATGAATTTTGCTGTGTAGAATTAGTAAAATTTTGATTCATATTTTGTTGAGGAAAATTTGAATAATTATCTTTAGTTTCAGACTGTGAATTATCAAGTGTAGATGTTTCGTTACTTGTAGATGATAATGATGAATTTGGTGGTACGCTAGCAGCTGGTTTATTTTTAATGGTAGCATTTACTTTTTTACCTCTCTTTGATTCTCCTTTAGGTTGTCGGGCTTTAGTTCGTTTACCTCCTGAATTAGATTTTTCAGCTATTGTTTCTTCTAAATCTAAATCATCTTCTTCATTAGCTTGACGTTTACGAAGAAAATGAAATAAAATATCAGGATGATTCCAAATTTTACAACAAACTGCAAATGCTTTAAGTGGATTTGGTACAGCTCGTGTTTTCAGGACTTGATTCATAAAAGTATCATACAATTTACGTTGAAACGGTGTCATTCGAACGAGAAGAATGTATTCTTCTTTTCTGGGAAGAGATATTTGAAGTACCGAATGAGATCGGCGCTGAACAAATCCCTCTAGAAGTGCATGTAAAACATGAGCTCGATATCTCATTAGTCTAATATCTTGAGGTGTTGAATCAATACACTGACCATTTTGAATTGGTCGTTCAAACATATTACAAAATTCACTTTTAGAACCTAAATAATTAGGTCTCACAAAGTCTACCATACACCAATATTCAAGTAAATTATTCTGCAATGGATAACCCGTAAGAACAATCCTACGTTTTGTACGCATTTGTTTCAACGCCATACTAATACTCGCATGAGAATTTTTAATCCGATGACCTTCATCACAAATAACTAAATCAGGGCCTGGGTTTACAAGAGCACCATGCATATCGTCTAACAACCCTTTATTTTTATCCTCTTCTTCAATGTCAATAGTATCTTTAAGTGGTTGGCCACGTTTTTTTTTTCCCTTATTAGGTTTTTTCAACGATAATTGTCTGTACAATTCATATCCAATCAGCAAAACACCACCAACTTTTTGCCACTCTTGAATAACTCTTGCACGAGCTGCCATATTTTTATGTGAATCATTGAGTATATGTAATCGAAAATGTCTCGGACGCACTTCCATTCCGACTGCAGCATCAACATTGAAAGGCGTTGATACTTTAGGAGTTGGTTTCTTATTATTGCTTACATCTTCTTTATCACTTGACGAATTTTCTTCTTTCATCGTTGTCTCTTTAGGCTCTTCTTTTACAGTAATCTCATGATCAGATATAAATTCTTTTTTAATCTCTTCTTTTATTGGTACTGGCGATTGAGAATTATTTCCATAAAACTGATTATTTGGCATATTCTGATAACTTGAATAAACATTAGCTTGAGTTTCATTATTTATCATTGAATTGTTGCTATTATCTGCACCTGAATATAAAGAACCTCGTATCATATTATTAACTTGCTCGTGCATATTATTCAATGGCTGATTATTATCATCAATCATAAAACCTGAATTCGAACCTGAAGTAGTATTATGACAATCAGTTTCTTTTTTCATCGATTCAAAATTATCAATTTGCCCTAAATTTGACGGATGCATCGGATTTTGAATTGTACTATTATTATAGTTTGGATGATTAGAAGTATTGAGATTAATTCCTGTTTTGTTCATCGGATCATTGTAATAATTGTTCTGAATACTATGACTATCATAATTCGAATTGCCAAATGAATTACCAGTCATTCCTACTGGTATTTGTGACGAGCTATCTGACATGGAACGATGAGCTGATTCTGTACTGATAGGCCTTGACGGTATATTTGAAGATATATCAGTTTGATTTGAATTTTCTTCTTTAACTTCGTGTTTAATATCAACTCCGGTGGATTCTGATTTTTGATTATTTGGCAGCACTTCAGATTTTACAGTATTCGGATCTTCATAAGGTAACCACATATTAAATTCAGCAAGCCAATTTTGTAGAGTATTTATCGGCATGATACAAAGAACAGTTTTAGCAGGAGTACAACGAAAAAATATATCACAAAAACTGGCAACCTGAAGTGTTTTTCCTAAGCCCATACTGTGTGCAAGAATGCAACCAAAACCAGAGCTACCACTATACCGTTCAATGCTTTCAACAATATTATCAAAAAGAAATCTAATTCCACCGATTTGATGGGGCTTAATAACACGAGCTACTTGAGGAGCTAAATAAACATCGGGCTCGGTGTCTGGATGACCAACATTTACTAATACTCGACCGTGTTCATCGGGAACATTGTATCGATCATTAGTATGCATTCCAGAATTAGAAGGATCATCTTCATTATCAGTCTCTTCACCACCACTGGGATCACTTAAAACTATACAATCATCATCCGAACTCTCGCTTGAACTAGAGATAGTTACAACATCTTTACCTTTAGCTGGTTTTTGTGAGCTAGACGTACTCGAAGCCTTATGCATTGGATGTAATTCTTTCTCATAAGCTGTATCATCTATCTCAGCATCCGAAGCTTCAGAATCAGAGTAAAAATAAGACCTGTCACATGGCTCTTTTTTAGGAACCACAGGTGAGATACTCACGGATGGAGTCATCATTCGGATTCTTTGTTGTAATACAGTTTGTCCGGGTGATGATCGATTAGAAAGACGTGAAATTGATGTTTGCATACCTTGATAACCACCTCTACCTCCTTTCTGCCACCGTGAATTTTCCATTGGTCTTCTTGGAACCTGACCAGCTGATCCACCAGTAGAGATTTGTCCTCCAGATCCACTGTTGGAGTTAACTTTGAACAGGACTGTATTTGGCAATTTAACCTGCGATGATGAAGATGAGGAAGATTCAGATAGTGAAGTACTAATATCATTCTTTCCTTGAAGAAGACTTATTACACGTGATTGATTTTTATTATTGTGCCGATTTATTGCTATTTGACGTTGTACCTCACGTATTATTTTCTGTTGCTCCTGAACTCGACGCAACCGCTCCATTTCCTGGCGTTGAGCAGCAAGCGTAGCCTCATCTAGCTGTGTCTCATCCATCACTTCTCTGATGTTTCGTCTCATATTGGCTAACTTTTTTTCTGACTTTAGCTCGCACTCAGGATCATCAGAATTGTCATCTCTTTTTTGTTTCTTTTTAACAGGATCAGAATCGCTGGTATCTTCTCCTCGCCTTTTACCACCCTCATCATCCTCTTCGTCACCTGATTGAGTTTCTGATTGGATATTATCATTGTCCATACTTTCTGCATCGTCATCTTTCAAAAGAGCTTTACCCAGTAAATCAGCTTCTGTAACTTCTTGGCCTTCAATTGGAGCACCTAAAATTAAAAAATTGTTAAATTTTAATTCAAATAATATTTAAAAGTTAAATAATATTTTATTTAAATAAAAAATTTTTAACCTTCCAATGGAAGAGTGTCCAATATATTAACAGCTTCAACATCATCATCCTGAAAAGAGGACTCTGAGTGCTGTCTTTCAGAGTCAACTCTTACACCGATTTCTGTGTCGATAGTTTCATCTAAATCCATGTCATCTCCAGATCCGTCAGAATGGACCTCATCGAGATCATCTTGTCCTATAGGTTCATTTTTTTTCTCTTCCTCTACATCGCTCGCTTCTCCACCTGTTCCTTCAGAGTCTCTATCACTGAGAGATCGGCTATTTAAACTACTTTTATTACCACGGTCATGACAACTATCTCCTCGATCAGAAGATCGTGAACTTCCTCGAGGTGTAACTCGTTCAATAGTAACATCTCCTATTCGGGTTAAAAAACTATCCAGACTGTTTGACATCTTGCGTTGTACTGACCATCCAATGGATGTGAAAATGATATTGTATTAAATTATTTTAACCACTCTTTTCTTTGTATTAGTAACTATTATTAGTTATATCATATTGTTCACATCGTCTTTTCATTTTACAGTTCCACAAATATGTGAAAATCTAAAAAAAAAATAAGATTTTTATTATTATTAATTTAGTTAAGCTATCACGGAATTTTTAATTAACTACAAAATTTTTAAATATTATTTAAACAAAGTATATCATTTTAACAATATCTATAAAATCTAAAAGAAATTATAGTTTACTGTAACTAAAATTTAAACATCTATATTTATACGATGTTATTAATACGTTGAGTATTTAAAGGAACACGTAGAGTTAAATTTTTATAAATTTATCAATGTTAATTTAATTATTTCTTTGTTGTTCTTAGGTTATTTTTCTTGCTTATTATTCGACTCCACTAAGGGACAATTACTATAACCTACTGTTTTTATTATTATTATTATTATTATTATTATACTTATTGTTATAATAAAAATATATTGACAAACTGTTTTTGTTACTAATGTCAAGAATTGGTTAATACTTTATAAACAGTTAAAAATTTATAAAATAATGGAAATGACTATAAATTTTGTGATTTATATTTATTTATATAGTTCATACTATATGAATTTACTTATAGTCAAAAAAAAAAAGCGTGTAAAAAAACCAAGAGTATATCCAATTGAAAAATTTCTTTGAAACAAGATGATACATTTAACCAACTTAAGAAATCAACAAATAAAAAAATTTTTTAACTTGTTAATCTTAACGTCTAATTTGACATTAAGAAAATAACAACACAAAAATAATAAAAATAAAAAAAAAAAACCTAACTTAGATAATGGTCTAAATAACAAATTTTATTTTTTTTTTTAATTTATTAACAATTAAAGATTGTAAAATTTAAGTAATAGCTGATAATGAAAAAATATAATAATAATATTAAGAGCTGTCAGATAGAACAAGTATTATAACATGAATGTTTATGATTATACATAAACTTGAAATATAAACTTTACCTGACAATGATTACAATGAGTCGTTAGATGATAATCTCATGGATAATTTATACCAGATATTGAGAGTATTTAACATGGAGTATGTCAAATAAATAAAATATTTAATTATAAATCGAAAATTAAAAATAATAAAACCACACACTGGGTAGACGCCATAGCGTCGTTGTTCGTTGCGGCAACCAGTTTTGTAATGTCTGAAAATCACATTTATCTTAAGTAACTCTGGATTTTAACTTAACTCTAATAACAATTACATAGCACCAATAATTTTATGATTTAAAATTAACGTTAACAAATTAATATTATACAATACGCTGATAATTTAACAAATCATCCACACAAGTCGCGATATTTAGTTTTAACGCTTAACGCGGCATTTTTTCTCTACAAAACTTTTTTTACTTGAGTGTACATACCGTCCGACCGACCAGGCTAAACCCCCGCCATTTTGTCCACGTCAAACGTACTTCCGTTAGTATCTATATATTTTCAAAAAAAAAATAAATAATAAATAAGTATGTATAACATTATTATTTATAAATATTAGCACTATTAACTTGGTCAATTATATTTATTCTTAGTTAGGTAAAACTATTTGATAATTGTCAATTTGATTATTTTCAATAATAGGACAACTGAGTCTATTTTATGGTTCGTTATATAAATTGCTTTTGTGCAAGTGCTAATTGATGTTGAACTTATTAAATTATTTTTAAAATTATTTGTGTTACATATATGTATGTATAAATTAATTATATCACAAAGAAATTAAAAAATCATTGTTTTGACAACATATCCATAATTTTTAATTTATTAAAACTTTTAATACTTTTTTTTTATTTTATATATTATAAATACTTTTATAATTTTTCATTAAATTTAAAATCACATAATTTTTTAAGAAAATCTAACAAACAAACTTAATATGTAATAGCTTAAGCATAATAATACATATTTTAAAATATAACATTTTAAAAATAAAATGACACTATATATAAATAGCAGAACTCTAACAATTTGTAAGTGTTTTTTTACCTTATAATTATTTTGAAAAATAATTATAAATACGCAGTTTGAATTGATTCAGTATTTTTTTTTTTTTTTTTGGTATATAATTTTTGGTTAAAAAATAATAAGTTTCTGCTAACTGGAGTATCATAAGTCAATCACAATTAATATCACACATATTTACTATTAGTAGCTAAATAGTAAAACAAAAATAAACTCTGAATTGAGAAATATGAAATAATTCTCATTAAAAAAATAATGACATACTAATGTTATAGCGTGAATTATCTTAAAAAATTGAAATTAATTAGTTAGCGTTTTCGCAAGCATCAATCCAGTCATTATAAACATCTAATGGTTCGGATAATAAATTAATCGTAGTTTGAAAATCTTCAAGACAAACTCTACAAGTTATTCGTGCTGTATTTCTTGGTTTGTCCCTACAAAGAAGAATAAATTTAATCGTAATAGGTATTAAATAATATACAAATTACGTTTCATGTTTATTACTTACATCTTAACCTCACATGATTTCTCATGATTACAAAATGGACAATTAAATTGTGTATCAAGAGGTTCAATAGCTTTTTTTCTAGTAGGTGGCTTCCTTTTACTTTTTCTTCGTCCCATTTTATAAATCAATTAAAAGATAATCAGAATGGTAAACAATCGCTCGTTTACTTTTTATGTTTTTGTCCTTTCTAGAAAGAATCGACCGCCGGAAAAATACAACTTTAACGCCATCTACAGGACTCATCGTAAATTTATAATCCAATAAATTCATACAAATTTTATTATTATTTTATTGGTTATACATATGTAACTCGTATCAAAGAGTAAAAGACTCTCTTTGACTCGTATGATATTTATAAATTTCATCAGGTATCACATATCCACTGTCTGTACACATGTGTAAATATTTACATTTTTATTTACTGTTTAAAAATAAAAATTACTTGATATTACATGACGATTTATTTTTAAATTGTAAAATAAAAATTCGTCATGAATGATTTTTCAATGTATCCTTTTTATGGTAAAATATTAAATACTAACAACCTTGCAGTCACTATGCGACTGTCGTGACTTGTGAACTATAAAAAATTAAAATTTTGTTTTATTAAATAATGACTTTTGTTAAATTGCACTGTACTTTCTTAAATATTGACATTTTTAAAGATATAAGCTCATCCCGATGTTACACTCATCAAGAGCTTTCATTTGAGTACCCACATCAATTTTTCATATTTTCATATATATAAATATATAAAATATATGAAAAATTGATGTGGGTACTCAAATGAAAGGTCTTGATGAGTGTAATATCGAGATGAGCTTATATCTTTAAAAATGTCAATAGTTCTCAAGATACAAGGTCATTTCTTAATTGTGTATCTAGAAATGGAGCATTTTCGAATGCAGCCTAAATACTTATCATGATACATTGACTATCGATGAGAATTAAATAAAACCTTGAAAAGGCACAAATTCAAGTCAAGATCTTTGCAATGACACTAAATTTTACTAAAAAAAAACCGATTTTATCATATGACTATATTGGAAACAAAATTTTTCTTATTCTCTTAATAATATAGATAATACAAGTATATAACATAATTTTTTACATTATTTTCCTTAACTTTAACATTACAAACAATATTATCATCATGCAGAAAATTATCTATACCTTTTCCTACTGCAAGAGATGCTGAAATAGCTTATCAAGTATTGAGAGTAGATAGTGAACCTAAAAGAAGTTGTGTTTCTAAGACTTTAACAGTTGATAATCAAATTTTAAACGTGTATGTATTCTTTTAATTTTAGATATATTATTGTAAGAAACAAAATTACAGATATTTAATATTTGTTATTTTAGGAATTTCACCGGCAAAGAGATCAGAAAAATAAGAGTTGGTTTAACATCTTTTTTCGATAGCCTAACATTGGTGACTGAAACTCTTAAAGAATTTGACTCCAGAGAATTGGAGTACAGTTATTATTAAATAGTTTATTTAATTTTAATTGAATACGAAACGATGTCAGATCACACGCCAGCTCCATATAGACCAAGATCAGTGTATGGATATGCTCTGTTTATTGGATCAAATATAGTATTTTTCTTGTACATCATTTGGGCTGTAGTGCCAGATGAAATCTTACATGATCGTTTAGGCCTTACATATTGGCCTCTTAAATATTGGGCTGTAGCCATTCCAATATGGATTTTAACTGCAATTGCAGTTTTTGCATTTATCATATATCCAGCTATCAATTTATTGATGACACCAGACATCGACGATGTGAGAACAATTAAGGACCAATACTCACTTGTACAAAATATAAATATTCCAGGAAGTATTCCATCTGTTTCTGATATTCCTATTACTGATGTATGTAGAAAATTATATTTAAAATAATAAAATTTTTACTATCTATAAACTATGCTACAATAAAAATTTTATTTATTTTAGAATAAGAATAACTACCGAGAGTTGCTTACACAATTTTACAAAAATCTTCTTCATGTATTAAACTTATATTTAAAAAAAATTAAACTATATTATTAAATTGATAGTGGAAAAATTAGTAAATAAAGTTTACAAAAAATTTTTCAAATAATTACTACTTATATCTTGCTAACATGTAAGTTTTGTTTTTTTTTTTTTAATTTTTAAAACAACCACCTTAGACAAAAAAAATTGATGGTAATTATTTATAAGTGATGGCCACCCTATTTTTGGCAATATCTAGATGAAAAATTAACATTTTTATTATTTTTTTTAAATTCTGCTTGTTTTTATGGCGCATTTATATTAAAAAATGTTTTTGGATAAAATTTCTATTTTATCTTTTTTTGATGTTTTTGATGTATGTACATTTTTTTTGAAAAGTACATAAAAAAACAAAAAATTAAAAAAAAAAAAATTGAATATCACAATTTTATATAAAATTAAAAAATTTGTAAAAATTGTGATAAACTTTTTTTTTTTAATTGTTCAAAATTGTGATAAACTTTTTTTTTTTAATTGTTCATTTTTTTTTATATATTTTTCAAAAAAAAATATATCAATAAAATCAAATAGAAATTTCGTTCAAAAAAATGAAAATTAAAATGGTGAACCCGCGACTTGTAAATAATTACCAAATTGATTTGAAATAAAATTTTTTAAGATTCTTTAATTATGAATTTTTTAAAGTTTGTAGTATTTCATTCTAGACTATTTAAAAACGTTAGGTTAGATAGTATTTTAAAACTAAGCGCGTTACACAACTTTGTTTGTTGTTCTTGTATGAATTTTGTGTAAACGTAATAATTTCTGTACAAATTAAGAAATAAGTAATTAAATTCACTAACACATTGTAAATTCATTCACAATTGAGAAAATTTTTTTAAAATTGTTTATTCAGCATAATATTAAAAATTTAACCGACGTCATGTTTTTGTTATTGATTACATATGTATCTATAACCTTACATTCAAATCAAGCTAAATAAACAAAGAATAAAAAATTTTCATTTACTTATATTATATTTTACTAATATAATAAAAATGATTTTATATATTTATTGATAAACAAGTTATTTTTATTTACTATAACAATAACATAAACATATAAATTCTTATTGTTTGAATTTATTGATTGTATTTTTAATATTAATGAGATTGTTAAAAATAATACGATGAATTCTCGAAAAATTACCACAGTTATAACAAAAGATTATGACACTAAAGATGCAGAAAATCGGCCAGTAATAAAAGTTGCGGATCGTCCAACTTTTATTTTAAAAACCCGAGAAGGCGAAAATAGAGCTGTATCTCCAAGTCAACGCAATGGAGCCAAGTATGAATTATTGTTGATACTTATGTTAAAAAAAATAAGTTGTTTTTGAAAAATTAAATATATATTTTTTTATTTACAGAAAAGAAATGGATGCCTCTGCCAGTACATCAACAAAATCATGTGAAGGTATATTTGTGATAATTTATTTTGTTTTGTTTTTTATTTTTAATGCTTATGTATTTTAGCACGATTGATAATGACATTACCCCAAGAAATGACAAGTAGTGTAAAGTTAATGGATGAAAATATGCAACTTTATGAAAATGTATTAGAAGAACTGATTGATCAACAAGATTTTCTAGTTGTTGGAATCTTAGGAACTCAAGGAGTTGGAAAATCGACAATTTTATCTCTTCTTACGTCAAATTATGGGTATGAATAAATAATAAAATATTAATTTTAAATGATACTGAAGCTAGCTGTCATCTGTCAATTTTAAAAATTTTTTTAACAAATCAATTACAATAAAAAAATGCATGAAAATTAAGTAAGCCGACATTTAAAAATTTTTGAGATTTCTTTTCATTAAAAAATGATTACAAAAAAATAAAGAAAAATTTTCATTTGTAAAAAACTTTAAAAACTGTAAGTGCTATATTTTTAAAAAATATTTTTTTGTTCTAATTTAATTATTAAAAAAAAATCAAAAAATTAAAAACTTCGGCTAACTTAAGTATTGTAAAAAATGTTTCTAAAAATTTTCACTTAAAATTTTTATTAATTTTCACATGGTAAGGGGAAGTTTTTAATAAAATTTTCTTTATAATAATTTAATTGCTATAAAATTCTAAAAAAATTTCTAATGTCTGTAAACTTCAGTGTCATAATTTTAAGTAAAATAATAAGTAATACAAATAAAATACATTTTAGATCAGAATTATTCGCTGTACAAAAGTCATCTCATCATAAAAATGGAATAAATTGTACCAGCGGAATAGATTTTTACGTAACAAAAAATCGTGTAATTTATTTAGATACACAGCCAATTCTTTCAAGCTCAATAATGACATCAACTAACACGACGTTAGAGCACTATGTTAATTCAGAATATAACTTAGAAATACAATCTCTACAATTTACTGCCTTTTTATATTCTGTTTGCCATGTAATTATTGTCGTTCAAGATTGGTTTGTCGATCCCAATTTAATAAGGCAAGTAAAAAAGAAAAATTATTTGTTCCAAAGATATAATCAAATTTATTTTTTTAAATGCGTTTTAATAATTTCAATACTTTAAGCAGATATATAATATCTGAATTTACTAATTTAAAAATCTTTTTATTGCTAAATAGATTTATTCAAACGGCTGAAATGTTAAAGCCATCGTCTACATCAAATTTGGATCAAGACTACATCGAGTACTATCCTCACATGCTTTTTTTGCACAACAAAGCAGAAGTGGATGATTTCATGCCAGATACTCTAAAAATAATGACGGTGATTACTAATTATAATATAGATTTATTCTTCAAAATTACTACTAATTTTTTTTTTAATTTTTTAGGGCTTTTATGATAAAGTTTTTGCAAGATCTAGATTACAAACTCACAGCGGACTGAACATGAGTTCATGCTCAACAGACGGTCAACTTAATTTATTTCTTATTCCTGAAATAAAATCACACAGTATGTAATTAATACAAAAATATTCTGTGAAATAGATTATATTATTAAAAAGATATCATTTTACAATTTAGATGAACCAATAATCCACGAAAATGAAAAAGAGTTAATACAAAAATTACGAAATAAAATTCACGGAATTTCACGTAATCCATTAACACCATCAGCGTTAACAGAAAAAAATTGGTAAATAGTACAAAGATTAATTCAAACATTACAAGTATAAATATGTTACATTGTATTAGTTATAATAATCATGTATATATTTTAGGTACCATTATGCCTTCAAAGTTGTTGAGGCTATAAAAAAAAGTCACTTATTTGTAGAATACGGAAGGTTACTTCCCTAAGATGATAATTTATTTATATTGCTTATCAGTGTAAGATATATTTACTATAGGCACATATTTATAATAAAAATAATAATACATATTTTGATATTGACAAATATCCTATCGTTTGTTTGTTTGTGATATACCTTCTATTACAACTATGTACTTAAGACTTTTTTTTCATATTTTTATTTATAGAAAAAACAAAATAAAACTATACTTGTACTTATTGAAATCTAAGAATAATCTTCCTGCTCATTATCATCTTGTTGCATTGAGGCCATTTGAGCAACTCCAGCTTGTAACTGTTGCCATTGTTGTTGTTCGGCAATAGCTTGTTCTTCCCGTGCTTTCGCAAATAGTTCTTGCTGCTGACGCAATAATTCTTCCTCGGGTATACCTAAATTCTCTAATCTAGTACTTTGACGTCTTCTTTTAGCTGCTACTGCTTTACAGTCTCTTAATACAGATTCAGCTTCACCAACATAATCACCAAATCCAAGCTTTTCAAGTGCTTGAAGTACATGTTCGGCGTTTATTGTCTTTTTTTGTTGCTGATTGCAAATTTCATTTGCTTCCGATGATAATAAATGAATAAATTCCGTGCAACAGTTGAGAATTAATTCACGTGATTCATTTGCTACTCTTACATGGGGTAAAATTTCTTTAATCATTTTGTTTATGGATGCTCGTGGAAGCGTCAATTCGTCATCTTCTGCCGGAGGGATTCCAGCTGAGGCCATTGCTTACTCTGTAATCATGTTTTAAAATTAATTGCGTATAATTATTGCTGAACGAATGATGAATACATAAATATGATGAGACATTTTTTAAAAACATGAGTATACTATTAAATATTTAATCTAATATACAAAACGATGAAAAACTGAAAGTAAAAAACATATGTGGCTTAATTACTTGAACAACAACAATAATACTACTTTTATAATGCACAATTTTTTATAAAAAGATTTATGTCTAAAGGTTATAATTCCAAGCTCCGAAATTAGAATTTATAACGCTTCAAATGTTAAAGAAAAAAAAAGGAATCGCAAAAAAAATTTTTAAAAAACAGTTCAATAATTACCTTTATTTTTTCAATTACACTTGCACATACGATGTCTGAGACTAACGATTATTTATCGTTAGGTTAAAAATTTTCTAGCACCAACAATTTTAAATTATTATATTTAGGTTAAATTGTTTTGATTTAAGTATTAAAATAAAATAGGTGAATTTCAAAACAAAAAGATTTTTTTAATCAAAACACTTCATAAACAAATCATATAAAATTATATTGAATATTAATCAATTGTATTTTGTTTTTTTTTTTTTCTCAGAATCAAAATAATAGCAGCGAGAGCAAGAGCGATGTTATTTTATTTCAACAAAATGTATATAGCTGACTTACCGCTAGAGTATGTATTCTAAATAGTTTTGAACAGAGGAGCTGCCTGTATGGCTATAGTGAATCCACCTGGTTCGTTTAATTCATCAACTTGTTCAAAATAAAATATTTTCTTTTTTAACTTTCATCTTTCACTATGTTTCAGTAATTTCTAATATTTTATAATTTTTTTTAATACTTTTTAAACTTTTTTTATGACATCAAAGTTAGCAGTCACGACCATGTTTTAATTCTATTTGACAAACAAATTTGTTCTAAAAAATTATTAAAAAAAATTGCATTTTTTATTTTTTTTTAATTTCTACATGTCAATTTTTTTTCTTATTTTTTTTTTTGCTCTAATTTGTTTCTTAAAAAAATTCTAAAAATTATTAAAGTATCTGGTACTTTAATTTTCATACTTTTTTTTGAATTTTTCTTATTTATAATAATTTTATCATTTAAAATTTTTGTTTTTATTTTATACAATTATTACTTTATCTATTTTGTCTTCTAAGTGAGACGATCTTCTGCGAATTTTAATTTTTACGTGAATTTCATTTTTAGAATTCTTTATTCTAACATTCCATTTTACAATTTTAAATTTCATAGAAGCAGCCTACCTTTTTCTTCAAAAACTTAAAATATATTGAGGTATCATTATTTACCAGATCCGAGAGCACTTAATAATTTAATGATAATTAATTTAACAGATACTTAATAATTTTTAGAATTTTTTTTTACAAATAAATTATGGCAAAAATAAAAAAAATATATTGACATGTAGAAATTTTGAAAAATTATAAATGCAATTATTTTAAAATAATTTTTTGGAGCAAATTTGTTTATTAAATAAAATTATCAAATGATCGCTAACTTTAATGTCATAATAATTTAATGCTTTCGATAAAAATGATTTGTTGAAAAACTCTTTAGGTAAGATCCGAATTTACAAATCAAACAAATTTTTTTTTTTTAAAAAATAATAAATTGAATTTTGCAAAATATGCAAGTCAATAAATTATAAATATAAAAACTTTTTTTTTTCCAAACTAAATTTATTAACTTTTTCATGCTATGAAAAATGATAAACTATTCAAAAATTAAAAATAATTATTTTTAGACAAGAAGGGTATAATAAACGAAACGAACATAACATAAGTTTCAATAAATATTTATTATAATATATCAAGTTTAAATAAAATGTCCTTCAAATTTTATAAAAATGCTTTTTTTAATCTATGCGATGTTTCAATTAAAAAGACTTAACTCATTAGCAATTTAGCACTGAACTTTTCTTCTGAAGGAGCAACCTTCGGTTAAACGAGCTTTGCCACCAGTAGGTGTGCACAAAATTGTGCGGCAGCCATCGCACTCAACTGGTCGTTGAGCGTGTGAAAAAATTGTCTTAATAGCGTAGCATCCTGGGCATTTCACATCCATGAAATAGCTATTGGGCTTTTGAACCAATCTTTTTAACTTGTGCTTCCTCTTTTCCTCTTGAGGAGAGGGGTGCAGATAATCTACAGCAAGCGGCATTCTGCAATCAATAAATCATGATTAATACACATAAAATTTACAATAACAATTTTTATCATTATTATGCTTATTATTTATTATGTTATGTTATTAAGAATTAATCTATTATATTATGACATTAAAGTTAGCTGTCACTTGACCAATATTTAATTTTAGTTAATAATTATATTAATTCTAATAAATTATTTAAAAAAAATTTCCTTTTTAATTTTTTTTAATTTGTACATGTCAATTTTTTTTTTCTTATTTACTTTTGCCATAATTTATTTGTTGTTAAAAGTTCTAAAAATTATTAAATATCTGCTAAATTAATCTTTATATTATATTCTATTAATATATATCATATCTATATTATAATTAATACTATATTAATTGAATATGTACTCATTATCACTTGCTCTAGGATTAAAATTTAATAAATAAATAAAAATAAAAATTTATTCAGTAAAAAAAAATAAATAAATGACAACTATCAAATATGAGCTAATTCCAGCTCCATAAAACTAACATATAAATATTATAATTATTAATTTGGTGCTTAAAATTTTTTTTTTAGGAATATTAACGAATCATACTTTCAGCTATTAGATGAAAAAAAATATATGACAACTGTCGATGTTTATCAATTGAACTCACTAGAACTTTTTAGGTTATAAGACATTAAACGAGCTTAAAAAGATTATTCACCAACTTTTTATATGATGATTTATAATAATAGTTATTTTAATGCAATAATTAAAAATAATTACAAAAATTTGTATAAATATTAATTATTTAACAATTAGAATGTAAAAAAAAAATATGGACATGTGAGTGCGCGTACATTTATTCAGCCGAAAAACCAATGTAGTGTAAACGAAAAGTAAAGATGAAAAACATAGTAAAATAAATTGCGGAATTTAAGTAAAAATATTTTATAGAAATACCAACTTTTTTCCTGAGTAATTCACTCAAATATTGAAAATTATAACACGACACGCTTTGTTTTTGGCGTTATAGCGTTATAAGGTTAAAGAAAATATATATATATGAATCACTACACTCACTATACTGGCACCAACATATTTTTCTGGTAAATTCCAATTTAAAAAGTAAACTTACATACACAATTGCAATTTATTGTGATCCATTAATTTTTTAAAAAATTTACTTTTTGCTAAAAAATATTTTACAAGTTAAAAATAATTAATAATTAAATTTAAAAATAACTTTGATACACAAAATAATAGTTAACTAGAATGAATATTTAAACAATTTAAAATAAGATCCAAAACTATTAAGATATTTCTTTTAGTGGTATTGATGAAAAAATTCGTTATTCATCGGTTAGGTATTTATATTATAATTTAATAGGTGGAAAAAAATATATGAGGATTATATATTAAGGAAAGACGATAATTGAAATAGAATGAAAAGGAAAGAAAAAAAATTAGTATTGGTAAAGGTGAGCATACCGGATTACTTTTTGTCATTTATTCTCTTGCTGAGTGCAAAATGTAATTTGAGGAATTTGTTCACATTTTCTACTTCAAAAAATATTATTATTTGAAATATGAAAAATTTTTTTCTAAAGAAAAAAAAATTGTCTTCCAATTTTTCTAGAAAACAACAGAGATAAAATTGATTAAATGTTATTTATCTCTATTATTTATAATTTAATGTTAACATAAAATTTTTGTATTATTATAAATTTATTACTCAGCTGCTTAAAGAAGAGTTTAATTTTAGGTTTGATTTAATAAATACATAAGAAATCAGTTATTATATATTTATAAATTACTTGGTTTTCAGGAATGCGTATGCATAGAATTATAATGGTCATTTGTTTAATTACACACGACCTTTCAGTGACTGGATTACTTTATGCTTGAGTAAATAAATTTGAGTTTCTCATGTTAAATTTTGAGAAAAAGAGAGAAAATTATTTTCGTTCTCTTTTGTTTATGTGAGATTAGTCAATTCTCGGTAGTAAATTTGTAAAGAAAAAGAAGTTTTAACAGCTGTATAATAAAATAATTCCAATACTTATAACTTGTGAATCAATGGTAACAGTAAATTAATGAATTTTTCAGTTTTATTATCTATACTCATTACTTAAAGCTGCCCACTTTGTTGAATTTTCATACAGTTACCCAAATATTCTGACCAATGAACTGCAAAAGTTAATTCCCTCCTCCAAGATTTTTCATTTCCCTTACCGAAAAATGAAGGGAGGTAATTGTCACGTTTAAAAAGGGCTGCAGTCGTTGCTAAAATTAGTTTTTATCCAGATCTTGACGATTTCTAATCATAAATTTTGCGTGACTTAATATTATTTATTTAACAAAAATGCATTTTGTAAGTTTTTACATTTTTTTTTTAGTTTTACTTTGAAAATTTTTAAGTTTTGTGTTTTTCTTTTTTTTAATCATTTGCAAATAGTATTATAAATTATTTTTATTATAATAATCGTTTCTAATGTATTTAATAGTATGTAATAAAGAATTATTATTCGATTATTAAAGCCAATTGTTCAAATAATTGAAAAAAAGTTCTGTTTGTAGGGGAAATTGTTTTTCAAAAATTTTTCGTTTTTCGCGTTTTTTCTATTTAGATTTTAGAATTTTAATTATTTATCGTTTATATTCATCAAACTCACTATCAATTGATATATAGAATTATAAAATAACATTTTTGGTTTAAAGTTCAATAACGATGAAAGCTGAAATTAATAACTTCGTTAGTGCAATTAAAAAAAAATATTGATCATGAGACGCAAATTCTGTAGGAAGTTTAGCAATGAATAAACGATTTATAAACGTATATTGTATTTATCAAAAAAATTAGTTTGTTTTTCTTTTAATGTTATTTTATCAAATCTATTAAATTTTTAGCAGCTACAGTATTTATCATGAATAATAAATTCCCAACTAAATTCTAATAAATATAATTTTTAATTACATTTTCAGATATTATTACTCCAACTACTGGTCGCAATGACGTCAGCAGCAGTAATAAGCGACATTGGAGGGCTTTATTTTTTAAACTCACCAAAACCAAACGAAGATACTGATTCACAAAACGGACGGGATATTGATGGACTGTTCTCCTACAACAGCGATAACTTTGCCAATTATCCGCAACAAAGCAAACGGGACGTTCATCGATCTTCAGATATCTATCGTGAAAGTAAAAGCCTTCCAATCGACATTGATCAAATTTACGGTCAAAAGTTCCCAGTTACGGAGATGGCGAACTCAAAAACTGACGATTTGGATGGACTTTATTCTTATAGCAATCCTGATGGCATTAACTATCCTCATTACGCAAGAAAGCGCACCACTCGCCAGACTCCTGATGTCATCAGTGAACTTTCAAAGGATAGAAACAGCGCACAAGACAATGACAAACCTCATGGTCAAATGTCATCAGTTTTTGTGGAACCGAAGAACGGTGAAGATGATGTGAACACACTTTATATTTACAACAATGATAATGGTGACAAATATCCACTTGGAAGCAGGCAACGTTTTGTTTACGTCAACGCTTTTGGAGACGTCAATAGAGCGATCCACACTGATTATATTCGGCGTAAAAACCTACAAGTCTTCATCGAACAACTTAAAAACTTCAACATTCCTGGATTTGACGCCGTTAAATTCTACAACGACGTAATGGACTTTTATCATCGTTACAACCTTTTGCCTATTCATGTTCAAGTACAACCAGCATTTGACCAAGGTTTCATCGATGTTGGAGGACTTTATCAACAAAATGGAATTCCACGTGATGAAATGCCTAGACCAAAGGACATTGACAATCTTTATCAGTACAATGGTAACTATCCAGTTTATCCACAACACTCGGCTTACGTTTAATCATTTATTTATTTTCTTATTTATTTTACATTATTACTTTCTATTGTTTAGTATTTTAATTTTAATGCGTAGATTCAATAACTGGAAGCAGAATTTATTTGAATTTCATATGGTCTGTGATTTATAATTTAATCTTGAAAACAGTCTTAGAAGTAAATAATCTGCTTTATCTAAATCAATAGAACCTAATTTAATACGGCTATTATAATTATTTATATTCGAGAAGCAAAGACTGTATAAATAATTTCAATCCTAATGTTTATTATATTTTTTAATTAGTATTAACTAAATAAGGAATGTTACTCGCATATCTTTAATTTCATAAGTTGTATTTGTCTAAATAAAATATTACATGCTTTTTTTTTTTAAATAATTAGTTTTGCTTAAGTATTATAGAAATTAATCCTTACTTTCTTTTCCTATCCACTGTTTACTTTTTTTTTTCTAGTTAAAACTATTATTGTTTTATTATCTATTAGACTCTTTATTTTACTGTCAATATTGATGAAAAATTTTATAAAAATAAATATATTGTAAATATAAATATAAATTTTAAAAAATCATTATAATTTTTCAAAATTGTCGTTCATTTAATCTAGGTATGAGTTTAACTCGATATAAAACTCATTTTATGAAACAAAGCATCCTGGCATTTATTATCAATAATAAATTCTTTAGTATTTTTTAATATTATTCATTTTTCTAAGTTTTATAATTACTTTGCTTCGTAATATTGATATATACTCATAAAATTAAAATTTTCATGTCATATTATAGTTAATAACACACGCATGACAGCTTACCAAAACAATTCTCAAGGTTTTTCTCCATAAATACCATTACATACTAACATAAGATTTTTACTTATCGCTCCACGAAAAAAGGAACATAGAAATTATATTTTCATTCAATGTAAGTTGAAAATTCAAACTAAAATATTAAATTTTTACAGAAAACATGGAGTGGATAAAATCTATTTACTAGAACCGGGTTTAAAACCTACAAACTCACATCGAATATTTTTAATATCTAGTAATCTTATATCTTGTAAAAGAGTGCTTGATCAAATTCAATCAGAAATGTCTCAATCTGATGGTTTAAATTTTCATATATTGATAAATCCATACATACCTACTGTGGTGCACTCGCTTATTGATGAAGAAGGTAAAACAAATTTAATGTAATGTATTTATATTATTTTATACAACAGTAATTATGATTTCATTTTATTTTAATTATTTAAATCATCCACACTGGCTGACTTGGTGACCGTGCGAGCATTGTCATGGGAATTTATTAGAATTGACGACAATGTATTGTCATTAAAATGTCCAATATTTGTTGATTTATATTATCACAAGAACACAAGGATCAAGTATTAAAAATGATTGATACGATACAGGAAGACACAAAATCTACAAATTGTAGCAGTAATGATATCTATTTTAACGATGTATTTCCGAAACTTCGTGCCATGGCTAAGGCATTAAAATGTATGTTTAATTTTTAGTTACAAATTTTATTTAATGATTTTATTATACGGTAATAAAAGTATCTAATATAATTTCTTATGAAAGAAACATAAGTTAGTTAAAAAAAAAAAAAAAAAACATTTAATACTAATTATTTTATCAAGTGTTTTATTTTCAGATGATTATCTAGTACGCAGTCTTCGTTTATTGTGTTTACTTTATATTGCCTGCAGTGGTCTTACTCCTAATGAGTCTCATATAATTCAAAAATCTCATCTTCACGCTCATGGATATGAATATGTACCTTTATTTTTTAAACTCGAAGCTTGTGGATTTTTGCGTTAAAAAAAAAAATTTTGAACAAATTACCCACTTGGAGTGGTGAATGGACCAGCAATGCTCAGCGTATGAAATTACGACCAAATCAATCGAAAAAATCAGAGGAAACATCGGTTGGTCCAAGTTATGTGTTCAGCGGTTCAAACATTCCAGCTATCGTGAGTTGCTTCAGTTTTTGTTTTTGTTTCCAATCTTTTGTGACTAAAAATTGTTCTTTTTTTTAAGGCTCAATTTTTAAAAACTTCAATATCACAAGTTTCTAATCCTAAAGGCTATGAAGATTTAATCAACTTACCTGAATGTCATGTCAATCGGCCTCGCACAGTGGTACAACCAAAAATTGTAATTATTTGCATAATAGGAGGAATTACATAGGGGAAATATCAGCATGTCGATTTATAGAAAAATCCATGGGAATAAAACTTGCTATTGTTTCAGATAGTTTATTAACTAGTGATAAGCTTTTCAAAAGCATTCAAGATGCATAGATATCAATTAAAAAAATGTGTTACATTTACATATTGTATATTTGTAAAAATTAATAAATTTTTGTTATGAAATATAAATTGTTATTGGCTCCGTTACAAAAGATTCGGACTCAAGAGACGCTGATAATAATCGTGAAGACTATTGCATTAATGACAGCATTTAAATCTTTTCAAAATACATTTTTATTATTTTTTCTTTTTTTATTTGCGGTTTTAATCAATAATATTTATTTACAATGATGAATATACTGTAGAAAAAAACCGTGTGAGGTCATGGGACACCAGATAGGAACGAAGTTCAGTCATCACGTAAACTATACATTAGACACTGTGTAGCCATCATACATAGACTATACATAAAAAAACTTGAGCTTTTTTTTTGACGTTACGGACGTTTTTTGCCGGCTAGGGTACTCCTCCGCAACGCCCCAAAAGGAACATCGTTCCAATAATTTAATCTTGAATGTTCTCATAAATTTGTTCTAAAAATCAAATTAATAGTTACGGTTTTCTTCACGATTACGATCGCGATCTCGTCTTTGGCGATTCCAATCCGCACCCTGACGATTATAATTCTGGCGATCACGGAAGTTGCCTTGATTCCCTCGTGAGAAGAAGTTACCTAGAAAGAAAATAATTTTGTTTTACAAATTAAGTTACACACAGTATTTTTTTATTCATCTTTTCCTACTCAAATGCTTACCTTGTTTCGTCTCGAAGATTCTTTCATTAGAATCAACAAAGTTATTCACTTTATCAGTAAGTTGAAGAGCCAATGATTGCAGACGGCTGGGTTCACTTCTGTGCATGACGACCGTTTCAGATGGATCATCCAAAGATGCCTGTAATAACAATTTTTTAATATTAAGTTTATCAAACTACTTGCTTATAATAAATCTAGATATTTATCAATAATGAAATTACCATAAGTTCTTCATTGATGATCATTTTACTGATAGTGGAATGTACAACAGGTCGTTCGAGTTGAAACATATCAGCTAATGTTGGCATAGAAATTGAATCATAAACATGAGAGTATGTAAAGAGATAAGTTCTTAAAGCCTCTTCTTTGATCAATCGAGTAAGCATTGCACGAGCTTTATCAGCTTGATAAAACAAATCCCAAACCTATTCAACATTTAATAAAGTTATTAAATAAGACAGTCAATTTGTAAAAAAAAAAAAAAAAAAAAAAAAATTATTATATCAATACAAATAATACCTTAGCATTCATTTTTTCATTAATAATAAAATTATTACAAGCTGACCAATTGCCGTTACGCATTGCTTTAGCAGCAGCCACAACATGCTCCCTCATTGATTCTGGTGGTCCGACGAGCGATTGACGTTCACTGGACCGTAGTTGTTGATAGAAAGTTTTGGAAATCATACGTCGTCTGGCGTCAAATTCATGAGCTGTGGAATACAATTGTGTTATATTTTTTAATTTATGAAAATTAAATTAAAAAATAAAAACGACGACTTACCAGCCATGTAAGGTATTTCTATGAGCATTGCAGATACTAGGTATACACATTCAAGTAATTCTAAATTGATGTGCATATGAAAAGGCATTTGACGTTGTTTCTCAATTTTTTCCTGTTCCTTGCTGCGTTCATGCTGTCTTTGTGGTAAAAGACCTTGTGCCAACAATTCTTTGACCTTACCAGTCATCATCAAATCTACAAGACAATTATGAGCATCTTTAATGTTAGCATGTCGGAATGCACACAAACCAAGATGGGCAATTGTTCGATTGTACAGTATTTGTGTAGCTGGATCGGAGTGTTGAATAGTCTCTTGGAGATGAGACATCAAAATAAGATCACGCGCTTGGAACCAATTATCGTGAAGTGCGTGATGATAGATGTGCGACAGAATAGCTCGAGTACGAAGACGATCAGTACCATCATGAGCGTAAACATATTTGCAGAGTTTCTCCATAACTTGGACAGATGTTACTACATCAGCTGGGATCTCACCTTCTTTTTGCTTTAATACATTTGGATCAAATTTATAGTAAAGATGCTCAATCTTACGTAAGTAAATACGACAACGTTCCGACACACTACCATGGCGCTCTAAATATTCTTGAACTTTGTCAATTATATTTGCTACTTGCTTTTCATCCTTTAATCTTTCGACATACTCATTACTATGAGGGTCACATTCCTTTAAAAGTTTAGTGAATTCTTCATCTAAACGTTCAACAAGTGTGAGTACACATCCGTGGAGTTTAAAAGGAGGGTTTTGAAACTCTTCCGCATCTTCATTAATATGCTCAGCTATTTGCATGTCTGGATTAGCACGCAACATGTCAAGCATTTCAGCTATACGTCCTAATAATTTGGACCAATACTCTGGTTTCATAGCATCCGATACTTTTGGATTATAGTCAAAAATTGAAGATACAATAGAAAATTTAATTTTTACAATCACCGCGGGGCCAAGATTGTGCGACTCAGCAATCGATAATAATTCATGCAATAATTCAATTTGTTCCCGTCTATCAGTACGCTTCTTTCCACGGGCAGCAATAACTTCTGTAAGTTTTTTCAGGACAGCTGGAACATTAATTTCAGCATCCTTGGCGAACATTTTTGGCTTTTCAGAAGGAACAACAACACCACCTTTAACAGTTTCCCATTCACCTTCATCATCATCTTCATCACGCTTCTTCTTACGTTCTTTATCTTTGCGTTCTTTTCGTTGTTCTTTTTTCTTCGCTTTATCTTCGTCGTCGTCTTTATCCGTAGCTTTTTTAATGAATCTTTCACGGAAGTTCTGATATTGACCATCGTCATCGGAACTATCGGAATCACTACTTGAATCCGAACCCCAATCAGAGTCACTCTCACTCTGATCGTCATCTGCTATCGTGACTTTCTTAATCTTGGGTGCATCTGGTACACTCACTTCTGATCCAGATTTCTTAACAACTGAAGGGCGATCTTCTTCGTCTTCAGATTCTGAATCTTCCTTTGGTTTATCTTCTTCTTCTTCATCGTCTTGTTCAGGATTTTCTCTGAACTTGGCGATCTCTTCTTCAAAATCTTTATTATATTTACGAAGCTTTTGACGTAATGAACCCAAAGCTTTTGAATTATGCTTTGACATATTTTTTCGACCTTCACGATCTTCCCAAAGTTCATTGATAAAATCCTCCATTTCCACTAAGCATCTTAAGAAGAACCTTGGTGTTAAACCACTTTCCTCTTTTGCCACTACTGGCAAAGCTCTAGTGTAAAATTTCTGAAGTTCTTCAAAACCTAATGACATATAAAATAAATAAATATTTAATTATTCAATAATTAAATAGCAAAAACTCATGTATATAAATAATTTTTAAGTATACATACATGAAAGCATACTACTCATATCTTTATTTTTTTTATAGTTTCGAATGAGTTTGATGCTATTTTTAAGATCTTCATATCTTTTTTCTTTCGTGGAACGAACCACTCGCTTTGTTTCTTCTTCTTCATCGCTGAACTGAAATAAAAAAAAAAATAATTTCAATATTATACGATAGTTTCTACTTTGATTTTTTTATATTTATTTATCAATGCTTACTGTAAAATTAGCGGCAGGTGCTCGTTGAATTTGCTCTTCTTCTGAAGAGCTATCGGATTCCGAATCCGTACCGGTAGTGAAGAACTTACTCATCGTTCTAGTTTAGCTGGAAAAAAAAAATCAAGATGTGGTATTAATGGCAAAGTTATTTAAAACTAAATATAAAATTCCGAGAAAAGAAAACATCGTTTTTCTACCGTGAGTTTAATTTTGGCAATAATCAGCTATCATGCAATCAATTACTAATTGGAGTTTAATATTTTTTCTATCTATCTGTTTCGATTAACTTAATTTTTTAGTCATAAAAATTCATACTTTTCAAAAAAACTAATTTTTTAATGCTCTAACATAATTGAAGTTATGATACAAAATAAATAACGACATTACCAAACATTAAAAATATTGAAAAATTAAAAAACAAAAACATTTGAATTTTAATACACCAAAAATGAATCAAACTGAGCCATTTTGTCAGCTAGGATAGTTTTGCCGGTATGTAATATGCGCTAAAAGTAAACATAGAGACATCCGTGAATGTACTTAATATGTATCAGAACTTTTGTTTATATGAAAATAATATTTGAATGCTTTATCATTATTTTCAGAATTTAATGTTAATAAGATAAGTGCATATATGTCAAAATTCCTACGGCATGTATCTTTAACGAGGGTGAATTACGAACGCACTGTTTAACCTATGGAATATTTAGTAATCATATGTGGTTGGACATTTACTTCAACCGGGAATATTAATACAGTACAAAATAAGAAAAAAACATAATTCACACTCATCACAATGTAAACTTACCTCGCAATTTTTTTAAATACGAAAATTACAAATTATTCATTAATCGCACTTAGCATGTCAGAACGGAAGCTATGTGTGAAAGAATAGAGGCAGGTAATATAGTAAGAAGCCATGATTTAGCTTTTAACTAAACTGTAGACTGCATAGTATAAACTGGCATGAGAATAAAATAAATAAATACCGGTAATGCGCGCTGCTGTTAAATTCCCGGAATTATAAATCAAATAAATACCTATAATACATATATATATATATATATATATATATATGTGTGTATGTGTGGTGTAATAATTTTGCAACATTTTTCTAACTCAAAATAGCTGTATTATTATCTATACTCATAAATACTCATTACTTAAAGCTGCCCACTTAGTTGAATTTTCATACAGTTACCTAAATATTCTGACCAATGAACTGCAAAAATTTTTTCCCTCTTACATTTTCCATTTCCCTTACCAAAAAATGAAGAAAGGGAATTGTCACCTTTAAAAAGGGCTGCAGTGATTGCTTAAATTAGTTTTTATCCAGATCTTGACGATTTCCAAAATCATAAAATTTGCGTGACTTAACATTATTTATTAAACGAAAATGCACTTTGTAAATTTTACATTATTTCTTCTACTTTTTTACTTTGAAAATTTTCGGGTTTTGAGTTTTTCTTCTTTTTTACTAATATATAAATAGTATTTTGAATTATGTTTATTATAATAATCTTTTTCAATGTATTTAAGGTGAAATTATTTTACAAATAATTTTCGTTTTTCGTGTTTTTTTATCTAGATTTTAGATATTTAATTATTGTATCATTTATATTTCGTAAATTCATTTTCAATTGATAAATTTATCAAATAACATTTTTTGGTTTAAAGTTCAATAACGATGAAAGCTGAAATTAATATCTTCGTTAGTGCAATTAAAAAAAAATATTGATCATGAGACGCAAATTCTGTAGGAAATTTAGCAATGAATAAACGATTTATAAACGTATATTGTATTTATCAAAAAAATTAGTTTGTTTTTCTTTTAATGTTATTTTATCAAATCTATTAAATTTTTAGCAGCTACAGTATTTATCATGAATAATAAATTCCCAACTAAATTCTAATAAATATAATTTTTAATTACATTTTCAGATATTATTACTCCAACTACTGGTCGCAATGACGTCAGCAGCAGTAATAAGCGACATTGGAGGGCTTTATTTTTTAAACTCACCAAAACCAAACGAAGATACTGATTCACAAAACGGACGGGATATTGATGGACTGTTCTCCTACAACAGCGATAACTTTGCCAATTATCCGCAACGAAGCAAACGGGACGTTCATCGATCTTCAGATATCTATCGTGAAAGTAAAAGCCTTCCAATCGACATTGATCAAATTTACGGTCAAAAGTTCCCAGTTACGGAGATGGCGAACTCAAAAACTGACGATTTGGATGGACTTTATTCTTATAGCAATCCTGATGGCATTAACTATCCTCATTACGCAAGAAAGCGCACCACTCGCCAGACTCCTGATGTCATCAGTGAACTTTCAAAGGATAGAAACAGCGCACAAGACAATGACCAACCTCATGGTCAAATGTCATCAGTTTTTGTGGAACCGAAGAACGGTGAAGATGATGTGAACACACTTTATATTTACAACAATGATAATGGTGACAAATATCCACTTGGAAGCAGGCAACGTTTTGTTTACGTCAACGCTTTTGGAGACGTCAATGGAGCGATCCACACTGATTATATTCGGCGTAAAAACCTACAAGTCTTCATCGAACAACTTAAAAACTTCAACATTCCTGGATTTGACGCCGTTAAATTCTACAACGACGTAATGGACTTTTATCATCGTTACGACCTTTTGCCTATTCATGTTCAAGTACAACCAGCATTTGACCAAGATTTCATCGATGTTGAAGGACTTTATCAACAAAATGGAATTCCACGTGATGAAATGCCTAGACCAAAGGACATTGACAATCTTTATCAGTACAATGGTAACTATCCAGTTTATCCACAACACTCGGCTTACGTTTAATCATTTATTTATTTTCTTATTTATTTTACATTATTACTTTCTATTGTTTAGTATATTTTAATTTTAATGCGTAGATTCAATAACTGGAAGCAGAATTTATTTGAATTTCATATGGTCTGTGATTTATAATTTAATCTTGAAAACAGTCTTAGAAGTAAATAATCTGCTTTATCTAAATCAATAGAACCTAATTTAATACGGCTATTATAATTATTTATATTTGAAATGCAAAGACTGTAATAATAATTTCAATTGTAATGTTTATTATATTTTTTAATTAGTATTAACTAAATAAGGAATATTACTCGCATATCTTTAATTTCATAAGCTGTATTTGTCTAAATAAAATATTACATGCTTTTTTTTTTTAAATAATTAGCTTTGCTTAAGTATTATAGAAATTAATCCTTACTTCCTTCTCTTATCCACTGTTTACTTTTTTTTTTTCTAGTTAAAACTATTATTGTTTTATTATCTATTAGACTCCTTATTTTACTGCCAATATTGATAAAATATTTATAAATATGAATAAAAATAAATATATTGTAAAGATAAATATAAATTAAAAAAAAATCATTACACTTCTTCGCAAAACTGATGAATAATCAATAATAAGTATTTTACTAAATATTTGATGTGATCAATTCATAAGTATAAATCATTTTATTAAAATGAATTTAAAAAAAACAACAATCAATTTAATTTTGAGATGTAAATCATGTCGTTGATTCAAAGTCGGACTGATAAAGAATCAAAAATTTTCATGTCATATTATAGCTAATAATAATGACAGTTTATCTAAACAATTTTCAAAGTTTTTCTCCATATACCATCACATACTAACATAATACTTTTACTTATCGCTCCACGGTAAGAGAAACATAGAAAATAATTTTATTACACCAAAACAAATTCTCATTCGTAAATAAACAAAATCAGTATTGTTATGAAGACTGACTGAAAATATAATAAAAATATTTGAATAGAAGTACTTTTTTCAATGTTGACGGGGTGCAATTGAATTATTTTTATTCTACAATCATAGAAGTAAGTTTTTTGTTTTTTTAATTATTTATTTACATGCGTAAGTTTTTCATTTTGTGAATTAAATGTTTCAACGAAAAAAATTCTTTGAACAATTTTTATAGAGAAATTATTTTATATAATGGACATCACATTTGATGACAAATTAAATGCTTTGCAACAAATAAGTCAAAGGAAGCTTATTGACATTTTAGACCAAATTTCTGGGAAAAAAGACTTTATTATTGAGCAGACATTGATGAAACCATTGGATTCATTCGTTGGAGTTACTGTTCTCAAGTAAATTATATTTTTCATTCAATGTAAGTTGAAAATTCAAACTAAAATATTAAATTTTTACAGAAAACACGGAGTGGATAAAATCTATTTACTAGAACCGGGTTTAAAACCTACAAACTCACATCGAATATTTTTAATATCTAGTAATCTTATATCTTGTAAAAGAGTGCTTGATCAAATTCAATCAGAAATGTCTCAATCTGATGGTTTAAATTTTCATATATTGATAAATCCATACATACCTACTGTGGTGCACTCGCTTATTGAAGAAGAAGGTAAAACAAATTTAATGTAATGTATTTATATTATTTTATACAATAGTAATTATGATTTCATTTCATTTTAATTATTTAAATCATCAGGACTGGCTGACTTGGTGACTGTGCGAGCATTGTCATGGGAATTCATTAGAATTGATGACAATGTATTGTCATTAGAATGTCCAATATTTGTTGATTTATATTATCACAAGGACACAAGTTTATTATCAAGTCTTGCTCGAAACCTATGGTCTCTTCAACTAATTCTTGGTTGGCCTAAATTCTCAATGTCATTTGGTAAACACAGTGATCAAGTGTTAAAAATGATTGAGACGATACAGGAAGACACAAAATCTACAAATTGTAGTAGTAATGAAATAGGCGGACTTATTATTATGGATCGTTCTTATGATTTAGTATCTACTTTTTTGACACCAGTCTCTTATTTGGGTTTATTAAGTGAAGTGGTGCCCATTACAGTAAACACAGCAGCTATTGATAAAGCTTCAATAAAATTAGATCCAAAAAAAGATCAAGTTTACGAAGACATTCGGGATATCCATTTTAGCGATGTATTTCCGAAACTTCGTGCCATGGCTAAGGCCTTAAAATGTATGTTTAATTTTTAGTTAAAAATTTTATTTAATGATTTTATTATACGGTAATAAAAGTATCTAATATAATTTTTTATGTTAGCTGAACAAGAAGCAACTCAGGATATGAAATTGGCTGAAATGGGACATTATGTAGCAACGCGATTATCAAAGACAGCTGAAGTTAAGCGCCTTTTAGCTTCGCATATATCTGCATGTGAAGCTATTATTAGTGCATTAGGTTCGGAATTTGAAACATTGCAATCAATGGAAAAGTCAATACTTGAATGTACAAAGAGAAAAGAGTGTCTGGATTACATAGAAAGAAATATAAGTCAGTTGAAAAAAAAAATAAAATTTAATACTAAGTATTTTATCAAGTGTTTTGTTTTAGATGATTATCCAATACGCAGTCTTCGTTTATTGTGTTTACTTTCTATTACCAGCAGTGGTCTTACTCCTAATGAGTCTCATATAATTCAAAAATCTCATCTTCACGCTCACGGATATGAATATATACCTTTATTTTATAAACTCGAAGCTTGTGGATTTTTACGTCAAAAAAAGGAAAACATTTTGAATAAATTGCCTACTTGGAGTGGTGAATGGACTAGCAATGCTCAGCGTATGAAATTACTTCCAAATCAATCGAAAAAATCAGAGGACACATCTGTTTGTCCAAGTTATGTGTTCAGCGGTGCATACATTCCAGCTATCGTAAGTTGCTCCAGTTTCAGTTTTTGTTTCTAATCTTTTGTGACTAAAAATTGTTCTTTTTTTAGGCTCAATTTTTAAAAACCGTAATATCGCAAGTTTCTAATCCTAAAGGCTATGAAGATTTAATCAACTTACCTGAATGTCATGTCAATCGGCCTCGCACAGTGGTACAACCAAAAATTGTAATTATTTGCATAATAGGAGGAATTACATACGGGGAAATATCAGCATGTCGATTTATAGAAAAATCCATGGGAATAAAACTTGCTATTGTTTCAGATTGTTTATTAACTAGTGATAAGCTCTTCAAAAGCATTCAAGATGCATAGATATCAATTAACAAAATGTGTTACATTTACATATTGTATATTTGTAAAAATTAATAAATTTTTGTTATGAAATACAAATTGTTGTTGGTTCTGTTATAAAAGATTCGGAAAATCGTTTTTAATTAATAATATTTATTTACAATGATGAATGATGTAGAAATAATTTAATTTTTTACGTTCTCATAGAACTGTTCTAAAAATCAAATTAATAGTTACGGTTTTCCTCACGATTACGATCGCGGTCTCGTCTTTGACGATTCCAATCCGCACCCTGACGATTATAATTCTGGCGATCACGGAAGTTGCCTTGATTTCCTCGTGAGAAGAAGTTACCTAGAAAGAAAATAATTTTGTTTTACGAATTAAGTTACACAGAGTATTTTTTTATTCAACTTTTCTTACTCAAATGCTTACCTTGTTTCATCTCAAAGATTCTTTCATTAGAATCAACAAAGTTATTCACTTTATCAGTTAGTTGAAGAGCCAATGATTGCAGACGGCTGGGTTCACTTCTGTGCATGACGACCGTTTCAGATGGATCATCCAAAGATGCCTGTAATAACAATTTTTTAATATTAAGTTTATCAAACTACTTGCTTATAATAAATCTAGATATTTATCAATAATGAAATTACCATAAGTTCTTCATTGATGATCATTTTACTGATAGTGGAATGTACAACAGGTCGTTCGAGTTGAAACATATCAGCTAATGTTGGCATAGAAATTGAATCATAAACATGAGAGTATGTAAAGAGATAAGTTCTTAAAGCCTCTTCTTTGATCAATCGAGTAAGCATTGCACGAGCTTTATCAGCTTGATAAAACAAATCCCAAACCTATTCAACATTTAATAAAGTTATTAAGACACTTAATTTGTAAAATAAAAAAAAAAAAAACAAAAATTATAATATCAATACAAATAATACCTTAGCATTCATTTTTTCATTAATAATAAAATTATTACAAGCTGACCAATTGCCGTTACGCATTGCTTTAGCAGCAGCCACAACATGCTCTCTCATTGATTCTGGTGGTCCGACAAGCGATTGACGTTCACTGGACCGTAGTTGTTGATAGAAAGTTTTGGAAATCATACGTCGTCTGGCGTCAAATTCATGAGCTGTGGAATACAATTGTGTTATATTTTTTAATTTATGAAAATTAAATTAAAAAATAAAAACGACGACTTACCAGCCATGTAAGGTATTTCTATGAGCATTGCAGATACTAGGTATACACATTCAAGTAATTCTAAATTGATGTGCATATGGAAAGGCATTTGACGTTGTTTCTCAATTTTTTCCTGTTCCTTGCTGCGTTCATGCTGTCTTTGTGGTAAAAGACCTTGTGCCAACAATTCTTTGACCTTACCAGTCATCATCAAATCTACAAGACAATTATGAGCATCTTTAATGTTAGCATGTCGGAATGCACACAAACCAAGATGGGCAATTGTTCGATTGTACAGTATTTGTGTAGCTGGATCAGAGTGTTGAATAGTCTCTTGGAGATGAGACATCAAAATGAGATCACGCGCTTGGAACCAATTATCGTGAAGTGCGTGATGATAGATGTGCGACAGAATAGCTCGAGTACGAAGACGATCAGTACCATCATGAGCGTAAACATATTTGCAGAGTTTCTCCATAACTTGGACAGATGTTACTACATCAGCTGGGATCTCACCTTCTTTTTGCTTTAATACATTTGGATCAAATTTATAGTAAAGATGCTCAATCTTGCGTAAGTAAATACGACAACGTTCCGACACACTACCATGGCGCTCTAAATATTCTTGAACTTTGTCAATTATATTTGCTACTTGCTTTTCATCCTTCAATCTTTCGACATACTCATTACTATGAGGATCACATTCCTTTAAAAGTTTAGTGAATTCTTCATCTAAACGTTCAACAAGTGTGAGTACACATCCGTGGAGTTTAAAAGGAGGGTTTTGAAACTCTTCCGCATCTTCATTAATATGCTCAGCTATTTGCATGTCCGGATTAGCACGCAACATGTCAAGCATTTCAGCTATACGTCCTAATAATTTGGACCAATACTCTGGTTTCATAGCATCCGATACTTTCGGATTATAGTCAAAAATTGAAGATACAATAGAAAATTTAATTTTCACAATCACAGCGGGGCCAAGATTGTGCGACTCAGCAATCGATAATAATTCATGCAATAATTCAATTTGTTCCCGTCTATCAGTACGCTTCTTTCCACGGGCAGCAATAACTTCTGTAAGTTTTTTCAGGACAGCTGGAACATTAATTTCAGCATCCTTGGCGAACATTTTTGGCTTTTCAGAAGGAACAACAACACCACCTTTAACAGTTTCCCATTCACCTTCATCATCATCTTCATCACGCTTCTTCTTACGTTCTTTATCTTTGCGTTCTTTTCGTTGTTCTTTTTTCTTCGCTTTATCTTCGTCGTCGTCTTTATCCGTAGCTTTTTTAATGAATCTTTCACGGAAGTTCTGATATTGACCATCGTCATCGGAACTATCGGAATCACTACTTGAATCCGAACCCCAATCAGAGTCACTCTCACTCTGATCGTCATCTGCTATCGTGACTTTCTTAATCTTGGGTGCATCTGGTACACTCACTTCTGATCCAGATTTCTTAACAACTGAAGGGCGATCTTCTTCGTCTTCAGATTCTGAATCTTCCTTTGGTTTATCTTCTTCTTCTTCATCGTCTTGTTCAGGATTTTCTCTGAACTTGGCGATCTCTTCTTCAAAATCTTTATTATATTTACGAAGCTTTTGACGTAATGAACCCAAAGCTTTTGAATTATGCTTTGACATATTTTTTCGACCTTCACGATCTTCCCAAAGTTCATTGATAAAATCCTCCATTTCCACTAAGCATCTTAAGAAGAACCTTGGAGTTAAACCACCTTCCTCTTTTGCCACTACTGGCAAAGCTCTAGTGTAAAATTTCTGAAGTTCTTCAAAACCTAATGACATATAAAATAAATTGATATTAAATTATTCAATAACTAAATATTAAAAACTCATGCATATAAATAATTTTTAAGTATACATACATGTAAGCATACTACTCATATCTTTATTTTTTTTATAGTTTCGAATGAGTTTGATGCTATTTTTAAGATCTTCATATCTTTTTTCTTTCGTGGAACGAACCACTCGCTTCGTTTCTTCTTCTTCATCACTGAACTGATATAAAAAAAAAATGATTTCAATATTATGCGATAGTTTTTACTTTGATTTTTTTATATTTATCCATTAATGCTTACTGTAAAATTAGCGGCAGGTGCTCGTTGAATTTGCTCTTCTTCTGAAGAGCTTTCGGATTCCGAATCCGTACCGGTAGTGAAGAACTTACTCATCGTTCTAGTTTAACTGGAAAAAAAAAATCAAGATGTAGTAATTAATCGCAAAGTTATTTAAAACTAAATATAAAATTCCGAGAATAGAAAACGTAGCTTTTCTACCATTAGTTTAATTTTGGCAATAATCAGCTATCATGCAATCAATTACTAATTGGAGTTTAATATTTTTTTTTATCTATCTGCTTTGATTTACTCAATTTTTCAGTCATAAAAATTTATACTTTTCAAAAAAACTAATTTTTTATTGTTCTAACAACAATTGAAGTTATGATACAAAATAAATAACGACATTACCAAACGTTGAAAATATTGAAAAATAAAAAAAAAACCATTTGAATTTTAATACACCAAAAATGAATCAGACTGAGCCATTTTGTCAGCTAGGATAGTTTTACCGATATTTAATATGCGCTAAAAGTAAACATCAATAGAGACATCTGTAAATGTACTTAATATGTATCAGAACTTTTGTTAATATGAAAATAATATTTCAATGCTTTATCATTATTTTCAGAACTTAATGTTACTAAAATAAGTGTATAGATGTCAAAATTTCTACGGCATGTATCTTTAACGGGTGTGAATTACGGACGCACTGTCTAACCTATGGAATCTTTAGTAGTCATATGTGGTTGTACATTTACTTCAACCGGGAATATTAATACAGTACAAAATAAGAAAAAAACATAATTCACACTCATCACAATGTAAACTTACCTCGCAATTTTTTTAAATACGAAAATTAAAAATTATTCATCAACCGCACTTTGCATGTCCCTACGGAAGCTAAGTGTGAAAGAATAGAGGCAGGTAATATAGTAAGAAGCCACGATTTAGCTTTTAACTATAAACTATAGGCTGTGTAGTATAAAAGAATAATTATCGGTAGCGCGCGCTGCTGTTAAATTCCCGAAATTATAATTCAAATAAATACATACTTATTTGTATGTGTATGGGTGGTGTAATAATTTTGCAAAATTCTTATAGCTCAAAAAAGCTAGTTTAATGTAATTTTCAATTCTCTAAAAAATATATGATTATCTAGAGGGTCGAAATAAAGAAATAAAACTAACCTTACTTCGATGGGAAATAATAGAAAAAATAATTCTAGCTTTCCACGAGTTAACTTTTATTAAATAAATCTACAGATTTGTGAAATACAATCATTTGAAATTACAAAAAAAATTTTATTGATTTAAAAAGCTATATTAACGATGGAAGAAAAATCTCCAGAAGAATGTTTAAATGATCCACAATTTATTCAAGTATTATCAACTACATTATCGTTAGAAGTAGTTAACAAAGAAAAAGAAATCAAAGGTAAATAATTGCATAACATCATTTGTTATAATGTTTTAAATTATATCATCTAAAGTTAGCCGACGTTTTTAATTTTTTGACTTTTTTTTTATTAATTAAATTGGAACAAAAAAATATTTTTTTTTAATTGCTCTAAAGTTTTTAAAATTTTTTCAAATGAAATTTTTTTTTTTGTAATAATTTTTTTAATTAAAAAAAAAGTTATGAAAATTTTTAGATTTCGGATAACTTAATTTTTATTTGAAGTTATTCAAAATATTATTATTGTTATTAATATTAAATACTTTATCTTTTGTATTTAGAAACTAACAGACAAATTGACAGCTTAAAATCATTTATTTCGAGCTTTGTTAAAGACCGAAAAAGATTAAAGCAGTTGACTCAAATAGAACAAAAAAATAAGATAATTTTTCAGACTACCTTAGATAGGTAAGTAATAACGATAATTATTCATTCTTCTTATTCTTTAATAAAAATAATTTAATTTTATTATAGCTTGCGAAAAATTGAGAACGAAAAAATTCTAAAATTATGTCTAGTTAAAGAGAAACAAAATAACAGTTTATTAAAAGCACAAATTGATCAAGAACGATTCTTAAAAATCTTAGAAACGTACAAGGAAACATGGATTAAATACGAAGTATATATAAAATTTATTATATAAAACCATTATTTTATTATTATAAATTACATATTTATGTTGATAAACAATTATATTTCAGGCCGAATACGAGAAATTTCCATTGGCTATAGAGAGAAAGAAAAATAAAAATGAAGTTAAAAAAATGAAAATTCAATGTATGATTCAGGAGTATAAAAGAGTGGAGTATCAGAAAATGTTAAATCTAAGAAGTGACATCGATGATTTAAAAATACAATCAATTGTTATTAAATTATCTGAAACAGTATTAGCAAGATGGAATCAACAATATAAAATTAATAGGCTGATTGATGAATACTATAAATTAAAAATAAAATGGAATGAAATATTTCAGCAAGTTTGTATTATAATTTATAATATGAATGGTTTGGATATCTTCACGGAAAGAACAAGATAACATTAGATATCATCCCAGATTATAATGAGTGAAAAAATTTCAGATAGTAGCTAATATAATCCAGATTACAATGAGTATAATCCAGATATCACGATCTGGATTTTTCTAGCTACTATCTCAATTTTTTTTTTTACCACAGATATTACTGAGTATAATCTGGGATGATATCCAGTGTCATCTTGTTCTTTTCGTGTTGTAAAGTAAATTTTCATTAAAAATTTTTTATAGCATCAAAAAATGATGGCTGAGTTGGAAGCAGAAACGAGAGAAAAAGCATTAACGAGACAGCAAATGCCTCCACCAAGAATTGACTTTTCTTTTATGCGAGCAGTATACACAGAAACTTCACCAAAAGATCCATTTTGTTATACGCAAAGACTGCGTAAACGGTCTGATTCAGGTAAAATTTCATTATCTTTTTTGGGCATAGAAAAATCATTATTAACATGATTTATAATTTTTTCAGATTCAATCTCTATTAATACTCTTAGACTGGAAGAAATATGCTGTGATGAACCTAGTGTTCCCGTAGTTTCAACACAAAACACTTATGAAGAAGAAAATGATGCAATTCCAATAGAGACTTATGAAGAGGATATAAATATAGACACTGCTGAAGAACAAGAAATTAACGAAACAAATGATGCTAATGCGGAAATACTTGAAAAAGTTTGTCGACAACTTAGCATTACAGAGGAACTCGAAGTTTCAAATTATGAAAAAATACCTTCTCAAACTGAAGCACAAATTCATTTTGAGTCACATCCTATTCAAAAAACTTTTTCAAACGAAAAAATTAATCATCTAAAGAAGAAAAGTTCTTATACTGATGATTCATTTGATTCAAGTCTAAAACCAACTGAAAAGAAAAAACCTAAAATAGATCATCGGCTTGAAATTTTCCAGCAAGATTCTCAGAAACAAAAACTTTTCCAAACAAAACAACAATCTCATAATGATATTCATTTGGCTATTTCTCATCCACAAGTCAGATCTATTGAAATAGTTTCGCAGCCATTAAATACAAACGTTAGGCCACCAATGGCTGAAGTTCCACCAACACCATCAGCTTTATATTCCCCACGTCTTGGATCCAATTATGGAAGTAGCACTAATTTATCTAATATAATGAATCAAAATCTGGACGATTCTGACTTAAATTGGAAAGATTTTGTGCCTTCAAGAGCTGGATCTGATATCTCTTACGTATCAAGTATTTCTATGTTTGATTCTAAGAAAACAATTGGCGACAGCAAAGCTATAAAACCAATAAGCCAGCCACAGGACTTAAATGGTAATTTAAACTTTAATTTCAATTGGTTCATATGTTTATTTAAATTCTTTTATAATTTTTTTTTTTTTTTTCAGTAAACAACTTTTTAAATTTCCTTCCAACTAACAATAATCAAACAAACAAACGATTTTTTTGAACAAAAAAAATAAATACAAATGTATAAAAAATTTCAATTTCGTCACATCACGTAAAAATTGTTTATTAAAAAAAAAATACATTGTATAAATATTATTTTTGATGATAAGTTAAAAATAGAAGATGAAATCTAATTAATTAACGTTATACACTATTCTATTAAGCATTAAGTAGTATTACTTCAAAAATACAATCTCATAAATCAGGTATCAGTTATTAGTCTTATTATAGGCACTGTTTTGTTTAAAATAAAAAGTACTTGTTGATGGTACAAAAAATGATCAGTATCATCATTTTCCATTTAAATATCTTCCATATCCATTGACGTGAGAATGAATAGTGTTGCAGCCAATAAGTGCATCCCCTCGCGTTCCATCTTCACAGGTACAGACTGCAATATGACGTCGGGCTTCGCATCTTGCGGTTGGTGCACACTCTTTTCCTGTGCACGGATTTTGACAGTAATAATCAATGCAAGCTCGATTGTCGGGGCACTCACTGTCAACTTGACATTCACCCTTACGACAATAAGTCAAAGCATCTCCAGTATATCCAGTAGGACAAGTACATACTGGTCTCTCTTTTCCATGGTTGTCATGTCCAGGTGTACAAATCGCATTTTCACCGCAAGGATTTGGTCTGCAGAGATCCTCTAAAAAATTTCATTTATTTTATTTTATTTAATTTCAATTGACTTTATTTTATTTTATTTCAATTGATTTTATTTTATTAAAAACTGTAAATAATTTAACAAAATTTTATAGTTTTTGATATTTCTTACCAGGTTCAAATGGTCGACAAAATTTGAATGGATCTCCAGTCATGTGTTTTGGACAACTACATACCGCAGTGATACCTTTAAGTTCACAGTTGGCATTGACTCCACAGGCTCCTTCACATGGGTTACTACATTTTTGATAATAACATGCTGGTTTATTTCTTGGACAATCGGAGTGAGCAGTACATTCAGGGTAACATCTAGTGTATGGATTTCCTAACCAATTCTAGACATAAAAGATATTTAATTAGTTTATATAATAATCACAATTTAAGATATCACATACTTTTGGACATGAGCACTTGGCTTGATGATTGATCACATCACAGTTTGCTCCATCACCGCACTTGCAAGGACTTTCGCATCTAAAGTTCGATGAGCAAGCAAGATGATTGGCACATTCAGCATCACTTTCACACTCATGGCGACATCCATTCAGTGGTGAACCTCGGTACCCTGGGAGACATGAACATGTTGGGATTCCGTTGATTACCTCACAACGTGTGTTTGCTCCACAAGGACTCGGTTTGCAAGCCGCCTCTTTATTAAAAGTTTATTATAAAATAAGTAGTAAATATTAAAAAAAAAATTTATTTTTAACAAAAAAATCTGGTTATTACACAATATTTAATTATATTTTATTATGTAAATATTTACAAGTGGGATCAAATCCATTTCAGGCTATAACTAGGTGAAAAATTAACATTTTCAAATTTTTTTTTTTTTTCCTTTAAAAATTAGAAAAAATTTTGGCTCTCATGTTTTTGGATAAAATTTATATTTTATATTTTTTTGATGTTTTTGATAGATTTTTTTTTTTTTTAAAGTACATAAAAAAACGAAAAAAAATTTGTTAAAATTGTGATAATCAACTTTTTTTTTTTTTAATTGTTCATTTTTTTATGTATTCAAAAAAAATATATATATATATATATATCAATGAAAATCAAATAGAAATTTCGTTAAAAAAAAAATGAAAATGAAAATGATTGACCGACCCCACTTGTAAATATTTAGCAAAAATCTACCATTTACTATCTAAAAAATGATTAACTTTGCTTATTTTTAGCATCATAATTAATCTAAAATTAATGTATTACGTATTTTTAGTAGGTAACTTACGTGGATCGGCGACATGGCAAGCTTGGAATGGATTTCCAGCATATCCATCTGGACAAGAACACGTTGGAACGTGATTTCTAACTTCACAATTCGCGTTTACACCACAAAGACCAGCGCAAGGATTAGAGCAGTGATTTTTGATACAAGTCTTGTGACTTGGACAGTCTTCAGGAACTGAAAAAGGTAAAAATAAATAAAAAAAAAAAGCATACTTAGTGCCTGATTGTTTAGCTAAGTAAAATTAGCTTTTATTTTATACTTACTTATGCATTCAACTTTATGACAATGAATCAAAGGGTCACCCATATGTAGATTTAAACACGAGCAGACAGGTCGACCATCAGTCATTGAACATTTAGCATTTGTTCCACATGTATAGGAAGCACATCCACCTAAAAAAAAGAAAGATAATTTACATCTTGATTACTTTAACATAAATTATTTTATATGAATGTTTTTACCTGATGATACCACTTTCGGATGATAATAGACATCTCCGGCAGAAACACTGTTAGCAATAAATGCTAGCAAAATTGCTAACAATATCCTCGTCATCATCGTGATTATCTAGTATTAATTAAAAATAAAAAAAATAAGTAAATTAATTCTTTATCAGTGATTTAAATAGTAGTCTATTGAATTAGTTAAATTTATTTACATGATCTCAAGTCTAATACAGTCCACTCTTCAGCATGAGATAGCAACGACTGAAAGATTTTTTCGCTGAGCCTAAAATTTATTTAGAGAAAATAAGTGAGTAAATGAAATGGAATATAGGATATAATACCCCACCATACTCGATCTTGGGAACTCCAAGTTGACCCACGCGTAACCCTGAGAAGCTCCTTGACTTAAACTCCGTATTACACCTACATCTTCTTACCTGTTTTTTAATAATAAAATAATTCAGTAGACTACCTGTGTGAATTTATGTGCATACTTGTTTTAACGTTATTTTTAAGTAGACCACGCCTTGTATCAATTGACTGATGCTCATGGTCTTTCAGCCTCCAGATATTTGAACCAATAATAGAAAATACATCACAGTATTGTTGATTTTAATAACATAGCGTCATAAGTGTAGTACAGATATTTTTTTTGCTATACTTAAATGGTAATTAAAACCTTGAATTTGTATACATGACCTCGAAACCGAGTAGAATAACTTTCAAGAATTTCAGACCCACATTTAAAATGAGTTACGTTGAACTTGGAATATTCAAAATTAACATCATCGCATCGTTTATATTATGACTTATGACTAATAATCAATTAGGTATCACCCTATCTTTATATAGAAACTATTTTATAAAAATACCTTCTTGTTTACCTTCATTATGTTTAAAAACATTATTTACATGTTTTTTTTTTTTAAGATTACACGTTATTGAATAGTAAAGTCAACAATTTTTTTATCGTTTTATTTTCTCATTCATGAATTAATATTTCTCATCGACATATTTGTGTTGACCAATTTTTATGTTCAAATTAACGGATGAAACATCGATATAAAGTAATGTTTATTGACGTCTTTTTTTTTATTACAAGAAAATTATCATACTGTAATAATCAGAAGTATGTATAATAGATATTTTATGGGAAATAGAGGCACCTATCCCTTAATCTCCGATAAATTATTCATAAGCATGAATTAAAAATTTAATTTGAAAAAAAATTTCGTTCGATAAATTAGCCCGTAAAATCATATCTTGTATGTACCAATGGATAAATTTAATTCAACATGAAATTAGTCTTCTAATTGGTAAAAATATACTAAGCTAGCTTTTTTTATGAAATAATATCACTTGAACGTATAAAGTTTGCCTTTCAAATAATAATTCATTTATTTTATTTCAATACAGAGAATAAAAAAAAAGGTTGCTGTGGTAAGTGCGGAAGTTAATTTTTTTTAAATATTTAATTAATACGTTATTTATCAGATAATCGACTAAGTGCATATTATATCGACCGTAGTTGACCTATAAATATACATAGATAGAACATTTACATACATATTTATATTCTATAAAAAGATTATTTATGTCTGATGAAAAGAAATAAATAATTAGCATAACCAGGTCGTTTTGGGAATTTATAATATTAGTGAAAAAATCAACCTCAGCCTGGAAGAGTTTCATTTTTTTTATATGTCCCTTCATTATCCTTTTTTTACTCCACTTGAAATATTATTAGGTGTTAATTTGAGGAATTCTTCATAAGCAGCAGCAATAATATCATCTTCATCTTCATCTTCTGCGTGATTATCAACTACGCGTTGATTCACTCCTCGTTGCCTATAAATTAAAACAAAAAATTATTAAATTTTTTATAAAATAATAATGTTAAGTCAAATAATAAAAAAAAAAAAAAAAAAAAAAAAAAAAAAAAAAAAGTAAGGTAAATAAAATTTACCAAGATTCATCAATTCCATCATCCATATTTGAAAGATCTTGACAAAATCGACGTTCCTCTGCTGACAGAATATTTCCGTCAGGTCCATAGAGTACAGGTTCATTAAGCTGCTGATATTGCAACTGTTCTTGAACTTGTTGTTGTGGAGGTTGATTAATATCAGCGGGCACAGGACCATGAGAAGATACAGAACGACCCCAATTACCACTTCGCAATTCTTTAACGCTGTTTACCATACGACCTATGTGTTGATCTACTCGGCCTTCAATCACCAGTTCTGAGAGCTCTTTCATGACACGTTCAATCTCTTGTCGATTTGCAGTACTGTCTCTTTCTAAGTATTGACCAGCTAACTGTAATTTTATTTTTTGACCGTTAAAAAAATAATTCATTTCCACAGCCACATATTTGTTATAAAATAATTTACCTTGAGTGATTGACAGATAAACTTTGCAGTGTTGGGGCCAGGATTTTTCAGAGCAGTTGAAATAACTTCAATTAGAAGCTTGCCTAAAAGTGACGCAGGATGAGAATCCATTTGAGCAACTAGTTCTGCTAAACAAAGCATAAGCCCATGGCATTTTTTCTCGTCTTCTGGCGTGTGTGAAGTAATTGTAGGCCATGATCCAGACAAAGTATCAGCTTCTTCGCGACAGCTGAAATTTTATTTAATTATTTATTTATTTATTTATATACTTAAACGCCAATCGGTTTTGAGCATATTAATATTACAAAAATTTTGAGAGAAATTTATTCAAACAAAAATTATAATAGAAGAGATACTAATATACATAAGGAAAATTATTGGAGCATTAAAAATCACAGGATTTATTTTAACTTAGCTAAGAAAGCTTTATAGGAACCATCGAAAAAATTCATGTCAGTGTGATATCTATATTAATAAGAGCTGATATTATATTTCTTGGACTATTGATGACATATTTTTTATTAGATTTCGTTGTTTTTAGTAGTCGATTATGCCTAAGATTGAGATTCTTTTCAATGAACTAATAATTACTAGTTTATATTTTTTACATCGTCAACAAAATATTAGTTCAACGGATAACATACCGTTCAAAAAGTGCTGTACGGAAGATAGATGGTGTATCATCTGCTGGAGTATCTACAGCATCAAGATGTGAGCAAAGTCTAGCTCCACTGTATCGGAAATTGGCATCACTAATACACTATAAAATAAAATTAATAAAATTGATAAGTTGCAATGAAAAAGATAACAGCATTATTATTACGAATGTAAATTAAAAAAAAAATAATTACTTTTAAAATAATAGCTGACACAATTGCTTGAGTGTTAACTTGAGTTTTAAGATGAGGAGTCAAGCTAGAAACAAGTGGCACGACTAGATTCTCAAATTGATCTGGACTTCTGGTTAAGGTTTGCATTGCAGTGTTGAGCTGACTCAAAACATTTGGTAAGCTATTTTCAGAACGGTTATTTCCCATATTATGGTTGTCCTGTAACAATATTAACAAGATTAAAAATTATTTAATAAAAAATATTTTTTTATATTGATAAAAATTTCTTAAATACTAACATGGTTTCTGTCATAGTTATTAAAACCACCATCATATTGAGAATATCCTTGGTGAGAATCAGCGTATTGTTGGTATTGCATGTGCTGTGGCTGATACGGATACTGTTGTTGATTACCATATTGATGATTCTGCGATTCATGATGTCCATGTGTATTTCTTGCTGCAGTTAAACGATCTTGAACCGATGGTCGATGCCATGATTGATTTTGCTGCTAAAAATTTTATAATAAAATGTTAAAATAAATAATTATTTCAATTTTTTCATGTAAAAATTTGTATTTTTTACAAATAATTATAGAAAAATTAATATTTTGATCCATTTTCTGATAAAACAATCTACAAATAACTTTTTAAGTCTATACTGTTTTAGAATAAATTTAGATATACAGTAAGATTCAATTTCCACCATATAAGTAGATATGCTGCTCAGAAATAAAGGTTATAAGTTATGAAATTCGATATTTTTATTAAAATAATCATATCTTTGATGCGATAATTTTTTTATTTGATTATTTAAAATTTCAAAAATGATGTAATATTATCAACAATTAATTTTTTTGTTAATCTTTAAAAATTTTTCAACGTGTTCAACGTGGGATAATTATTGACATCAATATAGAAAAAAAAAAAAAAAAAAAAAGAAAAAATTAGGTATTTATAATTTAAATGAATGTTAAAATGAAACTTACATTTCCCTGTGAAGTCATTAAACTTCGGGGTACGAATTCAGCGGCATCAGCAGATAAGTCCGAGTTTTTGACGACGTCATTCATCGACACGTTGTTAAACATCTCGTTAATTTGTTGTACAGACGCTTTAGTAAAACAAAATGCGAAAGATTACAACAGCTGACACGAACAATCAAATTAAAAGAAATAAAAGTTTGAAGAAAAAATAATGTACATACTTGTTTGTTGAGCGACAATACTGTGTGGTCGACGGAGGGACTGGGGCGGAGGATGAGGTGCCCAAAAACCGCGTCCTCTTCCACGGCCTGCACTTCGGTTATCACCACTACCACTACTACCGCTACCACCAATACTACCATCCCCATCACCGACATGATCCATTTTTATATTTTTATAAAATAATATATCTGGTATTGTTGTGATATATTTTTTATTTTGATAAATTTTTAATATTTTTAATTTTGTCTTCTATGAGGTGATAATTTATAATACAAATTAATTAATGTTTTTACTCGATGCCGACATACATTTGCGCTCCTATATCCGTAATCCGTTATGTCGGTCCAGTATCGTCCTTATTAATACTAAAGCCCCGGTTTCCAGTTATTGTTTTGTCAATAGATTTTTATAATTTTTAATTTACAAAATAATTTACTCCAAAAAAATATTTACTTTTTATAAAATTATTTGAAATTAGAAAAATTTTTTTTTATTTTATTAAAATAACAAACTTTTAGGAATAACCGGAAAAAAGTTTTTGATCCCTAGAAAAAAAAGAAAAAAAAATCTGCATATAGATACATTTACAGAATTTACAGATCCCATGGAAGAACTTACATAGATTTCTACTGTGACACCAGTTGGATATAACATTCTCAACATTCTTGGTAAGATTTTAATTATTATAATATTTTGTACAGTAAAAATTTGTAAAATTTATATATTATTCGTGGGTGGGATAATGAGAATAGTCGCTTTTGGTCGTCACTTCAATGGACATCAAGAAGAACATATCTATCGATTTGATTGTGTAAAGATTGTGTTGATTTCAACTAGGCCGATCACGAAAAAAATGGAAAATTCAACAAAAAACCAAAAAACTTTAGGTCTTGATCAATCAATAAAGATGATACTGAAGTAAGCCGACAGCTGTCAATTTTTTTAATTTTTTTAACAAATCAATTGCAATAAAAAAAATTCTTTTAAAAATTTTCACTAATAATTTTTTTCATTTTTCATTTGTAGAATTTTTTTATTAAATTTTTTTGATAGTAATTTTATTGTTACAAAACTCTAAAAAAATTTCTAATGTCTGTCAACTCAGTGTCATCAATAAAGACATCTGTTGAAGAAAATTAATTATCACAACTTAAACTGTAAGTTGTAAATTTTTAATTTTTTTTTTTTTGTATTTTATTAGAAAATACACATTTAATCATAAAAATATAAAGTTTGTTCAATCAAAACTCACTTATTCATTTATAATAGACTAAACTCTTTTAATTTTTTTATTATTTTCAGTTTTTGTCCATAAAGAAATATGGATATTGGGATATTCTTTAATGATTGTTCATCCGAATTTTATTTTTGAATATTATGAATTCAAAAAAAAAGTTGAAATAAAAAATAAGTAATATGAGATTTATGAAAAAAGAAAATCGTTTAAGAGTTTGAATTTGATGCATATTTAATTATTATATCCAACGACTCCAACGACTATGGAAGCTGACGGCAGTTAAAATAGAGTTCAGTACTATCAACAAGATAGGATAGTTCTCAAATGTTTTTATTTTCACATAACCTGATAGCCAAACCGGTCGCAACTTTCCGTTGATTTGCTGCAGCAACTTGTCACCAAGTTGGCGGCAAGTCTTGGAAATGAACTCGGTTGTTCACCAAGTTGTCGGCAGAAATTGCTTTCGAAACTTTTTCGCACCAAGTTGACGACAAGTTTCTCGAGAAATTTGGCGACATATTGCGGCAGTAGATTGGTCTTGTTTTTCTCAGAAACTTGTAGCCAAATTGACGCCAACAGTTACAAATTCGGAAGTTGACCGCAAGTTGTCGGTAAGTTGGTGGCAACTATCTGACACCAACTTGGTTGGTCTGAAACTGTAGCTATCAAGGAAAGTTACGAGTTACGGTAACTTTTTTACTTTTTAATGTGCATGAAAATAGTTTCTAGTTGACGAACAGAAAATAATAATTATATTAATAATAATCATCATATCTTCCTATTTCTTGTGTAATAATATTCTGGTAATACCTAAGGTGATTATTCTTTTCAATTACCAGTAATTACTTCAATTAAAAGTGGAAAATACAATTATACTTCAATAGATTTTAAGCTTACTGCCAAAGACATTATGATCATCAGGTGAAAATTATTTCAGTAGGTAGTGCATTGCCCGCTCATTTTTTCTTATTTCTGCTTTTTTAAATTAATTTTAATTATTATGAATTGAAATAGATGTTGCATACTTTAAACATCATGCATTATTATTTTGAAACAATTATTAATTTAACATATTATTTAAATAAAACGCCGTACTAAGATGACTTTAAATAAAATTAAAAAAATTTTTTTTTACTTTTTTATTATGACAACAAAAATATTTTAGTAGTTTGACAATTTATCTGTGATATTATTGTTAGGTGTAAATTTATTAACAAGTTAAATCAAAAAGTATTGCTGAAGATATTGCAACGATGAATAATATAATGAAAAATATTTACAAATTTATTAATCAATGAATACATTCTACGTCATTTTTTATGACTCATACTTAAAGTTCAAAGCCCTACACTATTATAATTCATATTTATTTAAATTATTCCTCTAATTAATATTCAATTTTCAAATGAATTTTATAAATATTTTATTTTTTAAGATCAAAAGCAAACTAAATTATGTATTAAAAACGCTAAAAATTAATTTTCAGAACGACGGTCGATATTTAATTAGTTGGAAATGTTGGAGGTGGGCTTAAGGGTTGTAAGAGGCTATGATTGGAAATGGAAAGATCAGGACAATGGAGAAGGTCATGCTGGTACTATAGTAGAAATTGGGAAACCACCTTCGCCTCCAGCAAATGCAACAACTTCCAACACAAATCCTGCAGACAAAACACCCGATAAAACTGTTATTGTTCAGTGGGACCATGGATCTAGAAGTAACTACAGAATTGGTTACCAAGGTTATTATGATTTACTCGTATTCGATAACGCTGCTGCTGGTGTCCAGCATAACAATATAATTTGCGATGGATGTAAAAGACATGGTATCGTTGGTATCAGATGGAAATGCGCACAATGTCACGATTATGATCTTTGCACACAATGTTACATGGGTGATATACATGATTTGAATCATATTTTCCAGAGGTTTCAGACATCTAATGCAGTAGGGTATGCAAATAATTATTCAGTATTTTCTTCAACAATACACTGAGAAAAAAAAAATTTTTTGTTCAGAAAAAAATTTCTTGGCTCAAGAATCGTTTAAAATAAATTTTGGTTTTTTGAAAAAAAAAATATCAATATCTATCATGATAATAAAATATTGGCATTCATTTTGATAGATTAACAAACGAATGGGTTCACTTGAATTAAAAAAAAAAATAATTCGATAAATTCTTGAGACAAGAAAATATATTCTTGTGACAAGAAAATTTTCTCAAGAGTAGCACTTTTTTTTCTCAGTGTATAAATTTATTTAATTTAATAATTTTATTATTTACAGAGTCCAATTGACTCCTAGAAAAGGTTGTACAAAAATACCGTTGAAAGGTATTTTTATTGGAGCTAAAGTTGTACGAGGACCAGACTGGGAATGGGGAAATCAAGACGGTGGGCCTGGAAAAACCGGACGAGTTATTGATATTCGTGGATGGGATAATGAAAGTAGTCGCTCAGTAGCTACTGTAACATGGGCATCCGGTAGTACTAATGTTTATCGGCTTGGTTACAAAGGTTGTGTTGATCTTTGTTATGTTGAACACGGAACAAATGGAACTTATTACAAAGAACATTTACCAGTTCTTGGTCAATCAATAAAGACAATGACTGAAGAAAATAATGGCACAAGTCAATCTGACGATTTAGGTCAATTAACATTTAATGTTGGTGATAAAGTTAAAGTATTACGAGATGTCGATGTACTAAAAGAAATGCAAGCTGGTCACGGTGGTTGGAATCCCCGGATGGCTGAATACATTGGCAAAGTTGGTACTGTTCATCGAATAACTGATAAAGGTGATGTACGTGTACAATATGAAGGATGTAATAATAGGTGGACATTTCATCCACGAGCTCTGATCAAAGTTACAAGCCAAGATACATTTGTTCTTGGTGATATTGTAAGAGTTAAAAATGATGCTGCAGCTATAAAAAGCTATCAACAAGGTCATGGTGAATGGATTGATGTTATGAAAAGTGTAAGTATTTTTTTCTTCTTTCTTTATACACTGATACAAGGATTTGTTTATATTTAATAAGCTTTATTAACTGTTAATAAATGATTTTTTAACATCATAGGATTTAATAAATATTTATTAACTATTATTAAATGTACTTTCCTCCCAAATAAATATTTATTGAATGTTAAAAAATATTTATTAAAATTTAATAAATTAAATAATTGTCTTCAAATAAATATTAATGATATTAACGATGTGACTATTCATACAGTAAACGGATGAATTATAAATAATTATTTTTCCGGCTATAATAATAATTTTTTTTTAATTTTAAAAACTTATTCGGACGAATAGTACATCCATAAAAATAATTGTATACGAAAAAATAATTTTATTCTATTCATCCGTTTACTGTATGAATAAAGCCAGCCATAAATTAAATTGTTCATAGTTAATAAATCCGTCTATCAGTGTATTAAAATTTCAGTATCATATGATTCTTTTCTCAAGCAATAAGGTATAATTTGTTGTAGGCATTGGGAAAACTTGGAAAAGTTATTAAAATTTACCCAGACGGTGATCTTCGGGTTACATTGGAAGGTCATACTTGGACGTTTAATCCTCTTAGCGTGGTTAAAATTGCCAGCGGCCAAGAAGTGGCGGGTCATACTGACGGTCATCGTTTACAACAGGGTTAGTGTACTAAAAATGTTGACTTGAAATATTTTTTACTTTTAATAAATATTTGAATACCGATTGACAAAAAAAAAAAAAAAACTAAACACTTTTAGAACCTGTATCTAACGATGTGACGGTAGAAGTTGAAAAACTTCTTCGCGACGCGGCTAGAGGAGAAGCTGGCTTAACTGCTGTTAGAGAATTTCTTAAAAAATACTCTGGTAACGTTGATATTTGTAGTGGTAAAAAAACATTTTTACAAGTCGCTGCACATCAAGGAAATCGTGAGTTATGTATTCTTCTTCTCGATGCTGGTGCGTCTTTAAAAGCTATTGATGAAGACGGTGATCCACCATTACATTATGCTGCTTTTGGGTTAGTATTAAAATTTATTATTGTTAATCTCAATGGTCAAAAAATAAAAAAGTAACTGAGCGATAATTTTATATGAATTTTAGAAATCAGCCTGGTATAATGGAACTGTTATTAAGTAGAGGAGCACCTATTGATGCGGTAAACAACAGTTTATGTACCGCTCTTCATGTTTCCGTTAACAAAGAAAATTCAGCATGCGTACAGGTTTTGTTGCGTCACGGCTGTAATGTTAATCTTCAAGATTCTTATGGTGATACTGCTTTACATGATGCTATTAGTAAAGAAACTGACATTATGTATGCTTTGATAAATTATGATTCAGTAGACTTTACCATACGAAATAAACGTGGGTTCAATGTTTTGCATCACGCTGCATTGAAAGGAAATGCACTGTAAGTTATAAATATAATATTTATATTATATTTTTATTTTATTATTGAATTGTATTGCAGTGCAACAAAAAAGCTTATGAGTCGAATTCAACATCTTGTTGATGTAAAAAAAGACGATGGATTTGCTGCACTACATTTAACTGCACTCAATGGTCATCGAGAAGTTGCAGCAATATTATTATCAAGAACTGGTGGACGGGCAACTGTAGATCTTAGAAACAACCGGAAACAGACTCCATTGCATTTAGCTGTGTCTCAAGGTCACTGGTCTTTAGTTGAATTACTCTTACGGCACAATGCGGATATATTAGCAACAGATGAAGACGGCGACACAGTTCTCCACATAGCTATAGCTAAATGCCGTCATCATGCTGCCACATCACCAACTTCAGATAGCCGTCGTGACGCGCCTATAATTAATGCTGTAAATTTTTATTTTATTAATATGCTATGAAAACATTATTTTTAACAGTTTAAACAAATTAACTAAAGTAACAATTTTTTTTTTTAGATTTGGGAAGATCTAGTAAGCGCAAATGCTCCAACAGAATTAGCACTTGCATGTTTTCTTGTCAGTGTAGAAAATCATGGTCCATTTTTAATGCAAGTTAAAAATTCTAAAGGGAAAATACCGTTAGATCTAATGCCATTAGAACGATCGGATATTAATTTTGCCGATTTATTCCGATCGTACTTTTATTTCCGCCGAAGAAATGGCCCCGAACTTGAGTAAGATTTCGTTTTTATGTATTATTTATAAAGTACACTGAGAAAAAAAAAGTACTACTCTTAAGAAAATTTTCTTGTCACAAGAATATATATTCTTGATAATTTTCAAGAATATTTTTTCTTGTCTCAAGAATTGATCGAATTAATCCAGTTATTTTTTGTTTAATTTAAGTAAACCTATTCATTTGTTAATCTATCAAAATTAATGCCAATATTTTATTATCATGATAGATATTGATATTCTTTTGTCAAAAAACCAAAATTTATTTTAAACGATTCTTGAGCCAAGAAATTTTTTTTTCTCAGTGTAAAAAAAAAGAAATAATATCAATAATTATTTTTATTGTTAGAAACAGCAATGCGTCTGGCAATGTTGAACCACCAAGTTATACTAATACTTCTGTTACCGATGACATAAGTGAGGAATGCACAAATGGTCCATCAGTTTCATCAACTGGTAGATATTATATACTCAAATTTTATTAAGATTCATAAAAATATAATAAAAAAATTTTTTTTAGATCGGATTTTGAATAAAAAAGAAGTCCCAGTGAAAAATGAAGATAGCTTACAGGATGAAGAGGTATCTAAAAAAGTAGAAAAAAAGGAGAGAGAAAAGGACAAAGACTTAGAGAGATTGCGTTTTCTCGAGACAAGAGTCGCTGATCTTGAGGAAGTTAATATGTGCAGTATTTGCATGGAACGAAGGCGCAATGTTGCATTTCTTTGCGGTCATGGTGCATGTGAAAATTGCGCAGCTCCACTAAAGACATGCCACATGTGTCGAAAAACTATTACCAAAAAAATCAATCTTTATTAAGTACTTTTACTTGACTTTTACAATTTTAAAATTCATCTGCCAAACCCATTCGATAGTAATTTTTGCCTTTGATGCTACACCTGCTTGTAGCTCAAACAAACACGATCTGTACAGTGATGTGCCATAATTGAGGTATCAGTGATTAATATTTATTAAAATTACTATACTATCTATTTATCCTTCGTTATATATTATAAACGTATATTAATATTTGTATCAATTTTTTAACTAACATTGTATTTTGGTAGAATAATTTTTCAATTATACTAATTGTAGTTTTGATCAATTTATTTAGTGATGATTTTAATAGCCAATTTATACTCTTCAAACTATTTAAAATAATTTCAATCTACAAGTATTTGATACAACTAATTCATTATATTTTAATAGATGTTTTTACGATAACTTTTATACATATATATATATATATAAAAAATATTTAAATTTATAATTGATAATTTAATTTTAAACTTCTTTTTTAGTGTTGACAAAAATAATCATAAAAAGCGAATGATTTGAAAATTTTTAGGTCTGAGATCAATTTTTTTTCCTTTTTATAGAACCAATTAGCGTAGTATATATTATTCATTCAAGTCATTTTCTCATTGAAGTGTGATTAGAAATGTAAGCTGTATAATTATTATTAATTTTTAATAATATTTCATCTTCTGATAAATGTCACAATTTTAAATTATTGTAAATTAATGGGAATAAAAGAAATTTCCAATTGTATTTTATATAATAGTTTTTTTTTTTTTTATTTTAATAAAGGTCTAAGGTACAAAAAAAAATAAAAAAATTGTGTGTAGCAAGCAATCTTATTTATTTTGGTACTCCTTTCAAAGGTCTAAGGTACAAAAAAAAAATAAAAAAAATTGTGTGTAGCAAGCAATCTTATTTATTTTGGTACTCCTTTCAGTATTCGTATATAATACAATATTGAGCCAGTTTGCAAAACTAATAATAATAATTCATAATAATGACAGTAATAATTCCGTTTCTATATAAAACTAAGGCATTATACTATAGACTGATACAATGTTTACACAAATAAACCTTAACGGATCTTGTTTTATATAGCCTAAATACTGGAATAGGGTCGTTTAACTCTACTTAAAGAATGATTCATATTCACATTTTTTTTATTTTTTTTATTTCACCATTTACTCATTATAACACTACTTTATAAATTTGTTTTGCAAAATCGTTTGTATGACAATCAATATGCAACCAAAGCTTACAAGTATTTTTTTTTCTTCCAATTAAAGGCTTAAAAATTAGATTTTATTCATTTAAAAATGTTTTATGTCACAGTATTAAGAAGAATACGAAAACAAAAAATATATATCATATTAATTAACGAAAAGTTTACTCATTATTGAAAATTAGTTAAATTTTTTTTTTTAAATGGTTATTTTTTAAAGATGTAAACACCATTGCTGCGCGATTTAAAATTTATCACAAAATTATGTCTCTCGAGTATAAATTTGTGATTAATATAAATCAATAACTTAATGTACTACTTATTAAACTACAAACAATTGACCACGACAATAGTAGAATATCATTAAGAAAATGAGCACTAGTAGTTGTTCTCACCAGGATATTAACTCTACAAAATGTCGTGAATGTTAATCACTTGACGGGATCTTCTCTTCGTTCAGTACATTAGAACGACTGGCTTATTATATCTTTATAAATTGTTGTCGGTCATAAATGTTCGCACCCACATGAGAAAAATGATTGCACTGAATTAACAACAGTGACCGATTTTTTAAATCCATCGTCCGTAGAATATCACATTTTTACTTTTGTAAATTATTATCTTCATTTGCCACAGCCCTCTCTTATTTTTATTGTCTATTTATGATCTTTAATTATAATAATTTTAAAAGATCAATCCAGCTATGTGACCATAATAGCTGGCAGTTTTAACTGATTTTCTGTCAGTTGAACAAGAATTAAGTAGACGTTAGAAGAGCCAATATTAGGCAGATGATGCGATTTTGACGAACGATGCTAAGTATTTTATCGGACTACTGTTTTAAAGATAGTTGTGTGTTTACACACTGATTTCAAGCGACCACAGGCTCTGAGCTGCATGGTTGTAGCTCTGGTTCGGTTTGCTGTTCTGTTGAATTTTTGTTTGATGCTGCTAACTCGTCATCAGCATTTGATTCTGGAGTAACAGCTGCCCATTGAGTTGTGTAAGGCGCGGCACGGGCTTGTCGTCTTGCTTTTCGTTTAGCTCGTCGCTGTTCCATTACTAAACGTAATCGTCGCATTTTACCTTTTGTCGCTTCATTTTCTTTCGACATTTCTTCTATAAAACATAAAAAAAAAAGTCATTATGTGTAATTTAATTTTAAATAGAAAAAAAAGAAATTTCAATTCCAAGTTTACCTATTGAATATTCAGGTGTCGGAGATGCATCCTGAAGATTCCCATTAGGTGATGTTACACCACACATTGCGTTGGTAGATCCCGCCGAAGATGTCCCGGAAGATGTTTGTCGGCTGCTAGAGTGTCGATGATGTCTATAGTGACTAGTACTTGCACCATTATTTTGAAGTGGAGTTGCACATAGTAAATCATTTAGAATATGAATAATAGTACTAATGTCACGCTTTGGGCGGCCGTGACGATCCTGAAGTGCAGGATTTAGTGTACCGCTAAAGGTACCAGAATACACGCCTTTTCCGTGATGATGCATACTCTCAATTATCGCACCTTGTCTACGACGGGCGTGCTCCTATATTTAAAATAAAATATAATATATAATAATAATAATAATATATGGGTGATTCTCTGTAAGGATGTTTTTCGCTGTCCCAAGCATTTTTTTATTGGAAAAATTGTTATTTTGTTACTAAAAAAAATTTGTTACGAAAGTAAAAAAACATTTCTGTTTGGAACATTGAAAACTAAAATGAAATAAATTTTGGTTTTTTTGCTATAAATTCGTAAACCACCGCAATAACAGTCCTCTGGGCTGTCCCATTCCCAAAATTAAAACTTTAAGATTAAATTCAAGTTATTCGTCCATAATATATAATTTGGTCCATAATGTTTATGAACTTTAATTAGTTAACTAACAATCTTCTCCAATAAAAAGTACCGAAAATTAATTTGTTTCATTAAATTCATTAAACCAAAGTTTGTCCCAGGCATTTTAAGAACAGCCCCCTGCCAAAAGTTCAAAGCCAAAAAAAAAATCCAGCGTGTATTTTACCTTTTGTAAGGTTTATAGGGACCTAACTAGCCTTAAGTTAATAACCATAGGGCTGTTAGCGCTTTATCGGCATTTTATTTAGTATCAAAGCACCGTTTGTACTGGAAATATGTGTCTGGGCCACTTCAAAACTCAGTCCCCTGGCAACTATTTTTATTTATAATTTGTTTATAAAATTGGATCTATAAGTCTTAGTATTATTCTAATTAAGGAGGTCCTTTCACTGCCAATGTAAAATAAAAAATATTAGATTATGAGTAAATTCAATTTTTTTCTAATAGTTAAGGTCCTTATTTATCTAATAGTGAGGTTTAAATTATACTTTACCGGACAAATTTTTGAAAAAATAAAATTTTTAAATGCTAGTATTTGTTCAGAGTCTTACGAGAAAGTCAGACGTTTGCAGTATTTCTCGAATTATACTATCAGTCATAGATTAGATGAAGTAAAAAAAAACTAAAAATTAGATTTTCGAAATATTCAGGTTTCTTTTTTTACAATAAAATATATCAGTTACCGAGATATTGATTGAGAAATTAATATTTAAAAATCACAAAAAATTCTCAAGTAACCTACATTAAAATGGAATCAAAACATTTGGCAACATTGCGTAGCGCGCGAGCTGCAGACCATTCAATAAATTCAAACTAATTTATTTATTTACACACTGTTAAAAATTTTTGTAAAATTACAAATCAGTGTATAGCAATGCTAAATAAAATACAATTCATGTAATTTTCCAACACCCTGTCAGGAAATCTACTAAGATGTATTGTAATTTTACAATCTTCTTGTATAAACCTAACACGCATTGTAATATTACAGAACTGTTCGTCAATTTTCAATTTTTTTTTTTTTTTTTCAAAATTTCAACGATTAATGCCTCATATACTATTTATTATTTAATTTTAGGAATTTTTATGGGTTTTTTATTTTAATTTATCGTATATTGACTACTACAATTGTTTTGACTCAACTGGAGCGAAAGGATTTCCTTAATGTAAACATTCATTGAGAACTTGAAAAGTTCGATGCATTGAAATAGTTTGCTTAATTTTTCTCAATTTGATAAAAAAAAAAACAGACCCCTGTCATGTTGCATGGCAAAAGACACACAAATATCGAAAAAACAAAAATTAATTTGGCTGTTTATTTATTATCATTAAGCTGATGGTTTTATAGCCCTTGTTAATTTTTTTTCTAATAAAATGAAAATAATTTGGTCGGACAATTTTGTATAGATTTAAGACGTCCTTACAGAGAATCACCCATATATATTAATAAAACAAAATAAGATAAAAATAAATAAAACTAACCTCAGAGGAAAGCTGCTTGAGTTTTTGTGTAAGATTACGTGACGCTTCAGCTAATGCTCGAGTATCGAGCGTGGCAGCAGTAATTTTACTGCTGGTAGAAAGGCTCATAATGGAATCATTTTGACTTTGTAGACCTGACTCAGAATCAGGAATTCTCGGCACGTCTATGGGGGATTGATGACCCATGGTACATAATTTTTTCTTTGGCGGGGTACAATGTGTGGTAGATAACGAATCTTGACTCGTGGTAGTAGGATTCGCGGATTCTGTAAGGCTAGTAAGTGAAGAGGTAGAAGTTTGTACGGATTCACAAGACGTTTGTTCTTTTCTTGAATGGTGATGATGGTGAGGGTGATGATGATGATAATTTGGGTGACGATAGTGCAAAAGTTGTTTGCGATGCCAGACTACCCTTGAAGAAGACGGCGAGAGTGGTGGTGAATATGAAGACGAAGATGAAGGCGAGGATGAGGATGATGATGGAGAGGCCGATGAAGATGATGATGATGATGATGATGATGAGGAGGAGGTCGGTGGGGATACGGTACGTTCACTACCACTAGGATTAGTTGTAGTGGTGGCAGTAGAGAGGCTGGTGCTGCAGCTGGCGGCGTGAAGCGCTGAGGCGAGGCTACTTATAAATGACGGAATTCCGGCGGGTGTGTGCCCATTTTGCTTAGCGTTGCGCATTGATCGGCCAAGGTGGTCGCTCAACCTTCTGTGCACGGATGTTGATAGTGAATCTACGCCAGAGGTCATCGACGTTGATGTTCCTGATGCTGTTGATGCTGCTGATAGTGATGTGTTACCAATGTTATTTAATCCAATGTTTTCATTTGGTGATAACGGAGATGACGATGGTGATGATGGTGTCGACGGTGTAGGCGATGCTGGAGATGATGATGATGATGATGATGATGATGATGATGATGATGGTGATGCAATGTTACTTGACATGGCAACGCCAGCAGAGGGCCCCACTGAGCTAGTATGCGGCGATGACGGAGTTACTGTTGACAATTGGAGCTGGATCAACATCATCTGATCACCCAGGCGCATCGTCAGATTAAGAGGTGCTTTGCCAGATAGAAAGTCATTCACCTGTGAGTCATTTAAATTCTCGAGCGCTTGCATTACACTTTGTTCTGGGCGTTGTCCCTGAAAAATTATTTACGAATAAGTGATAAGCATAGAAGTCTCAAGTACTTTAATCACTAATTTTAACGCTTGTGTATAACTATAGCATTTGCATTGTACTGTTATCATTTAGCTATTGTAGTAATCAACTCTGTGATTGTGTACTGAACGAAAGGTTAACTTGGATCAAGAGTATCTCTATATTCATTCGTTTTTTCTTTAATGAAAAGAGAGTTTTTTTTTTTTATTCAAAAAATTATCATCAGAAATTGGCTGCCCAATTTCAAAACACAGTAACTAACATTTAGAAATTTTAAAAAATTTTTCTTATTAAAAAAAAGTTTGCCTGGCAAATTGATAAAAATTTTGATTTATGAATAGAAAATACTTGAATATAAATATTTTTAAGAAAAAATACTTGAAATTAAGGTCTAAAAGTTATAAAAAATGCAAAATTAGGTATAAAAATTTTACAGTTACTGTGTTTTAAAATTGGGCAGCAGTTTTAAATTTAATATTTAATATTCAATTATAATAATTATAATAATTATAATAAAAATGAGTAATTTAACAGTAAGAGATTTCTTAGTTCAAAAGGTATAAAATTACATAAATAATTTTGATGTGATGCCAGAAATGGTCAATAAAACAAAATGATAAAGGACAAAATATTGATCAAAAACATAATTTTCTGACAATTTAAATATTTTAAGTAGTTCTTAATAATTCTACCTAGTTTAAAAAAAAATGTTCAATTTTTAAATATAAATGGTCGATTTTTTGGAGTATTATTTTATAATTACGAGATTAAGTACATACAATCCTACAAATAAATAAATAAATGCTATAAAATGAAAGATTCCGTATCAACGGCACGTTTGAAATACAATGCCCTTAGTATTGCAGCCACAGCGAGGATGGCACCAATCGATGCGGCCATACTAATATATGAGATCGAATCCCAAGAAGACCCTGCGTAAAGAGAGGAAACCTCGCGGGCATTGAAGCTCCCCGAGGCATCATCGTACTTCCCTGCTTGCTTTGAAACACATAACAGACTTCTTTTCGCACAAAGTCTGCAAAGTGTACTGTAATTTAATTTGTAACAACTTTAATATTCTCCTGGTAAATCACCCAACAAACAATTTGACTAAGAAGCCTCTGAACAATTATTGAAGCAATGGTTAACTCTTGATCAATTATACGTGGTAGTTAAAAATAAGCCTCAAATAAATTAAAATTAAAACGGAAGAAAATTCATACTGGAGTGTCGTCAATGTCGACCAAAACTTTTAATTTAACTAAATTTAACCTGCTATCCCACGTTCAGCGAAAATATCACACATATACATCCAAACTAACGTAATAGTGTACAAGCATACATTCAAGTACGCAAAAGTGTGACAATACATATAATATACATATACACGTAGAAAATGAAACTACAAGAGTCCCGACTCCCGACTTACGTGTTTTCTCCCACTCACGTTATTTTAATTCACACACATAAAAGACAGAGCTGATTCTCTTGTATATCGTCCTTTATATTCATCTCGCGACTGAATTTACATTTAATTCTATATGTGTCCTGTTAAAATGAGTGTCTTGAACTTATTATATGGTACTGTTTAGAGTGACCCTGTGTGAGCAAATGTAATTTATCTTTCGAAAAGCATCAACTTTTTTTCATCCTTGTTCCATTAACTACACTGATGAAAAAATTAAATTAATTAGAAAAAAAAAATTCTTAAAATAAGAAAATTATCTTAAAAATTTTTATCGTCTTGATCGAACATGAAAAATTCTTGAGTAAAGTAAAGTTTACTTAAACTAAGAGCGATTTTTAATTTCAATAAATTTTCTGCTCATTTTTTAGGTTCAAGAGTTTTTTTTTTTATCAAGGTAATTTTATTATCAGTGAATCATGAAAATTTACAGCATTTACCGCATTGTGTTTATTAATATTTTAAAAAAATTACAATAAAAAGTTCTTCCAAAAATAATCTTACATAAAAAAAAAGGATTTTTACAAAAGTTTTTGATATTCTTTATAAATAATAAAATTTACGGCTTTGCTGATAAATAATTAAAATAATGATAAAAAAAATTATAAAATTACACACGATCATTCAAATTACAAATAATTAAATGGTTTGATTTAGAATAAGGTTACTTAATCAACTTATTATATATCATTTTTACTTGTATACCTATTTTGGTTTTTACAAGACTGTAACCCATATTCTCCACATTTTTTCTATTACCACAGTAATACCACTCAAGTGCCTCTTTTGTTATCATATGACATTCATAATGTTATACCTGGCTTTCGTCCCTTTAACTAACACTTATTTTTTCTTTGCGTTCAACATATTCTTTCCACTTTATAATCCACTGTGCTGCGACTGTGGCCGAACTTACGCGTTATAATCAGTACCTGCATTTGCATTACGACCTTAAGTAGCATTACATGGAGTAATTCTATAATGACATTTTTACTTCCATAACTACACGGGGAAACCACAGAAAACCCGGTCGGTACAGAGGCTGGCAACGTAACGCACATATTCTTTTTATTTTATAATCACTGAAAATAGTGGTGCGTGCCGGAATCAAACCCGGGTTCTACTCTTTCGAAATGTAGGCACCGAGCTGATTAGGCTATTGCCAGCCTTTAATCAACTTATTAATTAATTATTCATTGAAAAAATTTTTATCTTTCATTTTTATTCACTGATAATTACTTTTTATTTTAATTTAAGTTGCAGAGTGCATTTTAAAAATCTTTAATTAATTATTTAATAACAAACTTCTTACTTTTATTATTGAGGATAAATATAAAAAAATTATATGAAAAATTTACTATTTATTGTAATAAAATTTTAAACAAAAATAAGTTGTTTAGTGTTGAGTAATTCTGTGTAAACTAATATAATGTGTATTTCTGAGAGCACCAACTTTCTATCCTTTTCGACAACTGTTATCAAAATGTACATCATTTAATCTAGTGAAAACCCAAATGCGTCATATATTCATTAATATTTCAAGAAAATAATTTATGGATTTCAATTATTATTTTTTAAATCGAAAATAAGGACGTAGATCGTTAAGACAAATTGATTTAATTCAAAAAGAAAAATCTTGAACGAAGACAATCATTTTAAAGATTTCTTTTGTCTTAAATAAAGTAGAAATAATTTTAAATTAAATAAAGTTTATGCAAGCTGAAAAAATGTTTCGAGTCATTAACTTTTTCTACTGCTGTAAGATAAAGAAATTGTCCAAAATGATTTTTTTCAAGTCTTTTTAAACGCTGGTATACTTTAGTTAAAAAAACTTTGATTTTTTTGTAATTTATAAGAATTTTTATCAAATGATTAAAATCATGATTGCAAATTTATCAACTAAAAATTTTTGAATTAAAAACTAAAAAATTCGTTTTTTATTTTAATACTAGAATTAAAAATCCAAAAATAAATTTGAATGTTGAGATTTTTAACATATTTACAATTGAAGTTACTTTTATCAGCTCTAGCAATCTTTTATTTTTATTTTTTAAATGAGAAAAGTTCTTCCATACCACTGAAAAAGTCAGAAAACGATGTATAAATACCGATATTTAATAATCTAATTATTGCAAAAGTCATCTACGCAGAAATATCAGATTATAAGTTGATAAACTAATCTCAATTATTAATCTATAATTGTTTTGTTCTTTAACTCCCAGTAAGCACCACTGAAATCAATGACACCCGTTCAAATAACACAAAAGTAGGTTTCAAGTATATGAACTTAATATATACATATATAATTTTTAGACACTCGATTTACTAATATAACTCTGAGTTTCGAACAGATGTTGAAATTTTTAAGGTTTTGGAAATGATTTAAATTAATTCTTCAAACTGTAATGCATTCAGTAAATTTTTCTCACGATCTATGAGTCGATCTGTAAATTGATTCTTTTGCAAGAGGTTTTTTTTTTTTAAATTATGCCTCCTTTGTCCTGATCTTTGAAAATACCACCTACAAGTATTTTTGAGCAGCATAATAGAGGATAAAAGTGGAACGATGCAAGAGAGCCAGGTGCTGGCATCGAGTTTTAAGGAGGTACAGAACCTTGAGATTAATAATGGTAATACTACTGCATATCCTGGCAGAGCGAATTGTAATGATTAGTAATTTTATAATAATTTTCTATAATAGAGTTTAAACATTTTAATTAATTAAAAAATTAAAAGAAACTCGCAATACAACGAATAAAATGAAAAGTTTAGAAAGTAAAAAGATGAATGCACGTGTATTAGCGCAACATTGAACGTATGAGTTCTATAGAATTTTTCCAAGTTTACTACCTAGTTGTCGATTGCCTGCTTCGCTGGGCTCACGCTAAAATTTGTTTGTTTCTAAATGAAACAATTTTGTTAATTGTACATCATAATTTTCTAAAATTTTATAATTTTTTACTTTTAAGGCTAAAACATATCAATATTATCGAAATGCTTGCAGTTAATCTCAAAAAGTGAAAGTGGTTTTTAGATTTGTACATTGAAATTCCCAATAATTGAAATCAAAATTCTATTAAATTAATTAAATGTCAAATTAGTCAGTCAACGATAAAATGATAATGTTTTACTTAAGTGAAATTACAAAATAAAAAATTTATAGTAAAAATTCATCGATTATTAAGCTAATAAAATATAGATAAAATTTTTTTTACACGAGACTTTTATTAAAAAAATGTTTGTAGTGAATAGTGTAGACATGAATTTTTTATAAAAATTGTAATAAAAGCGTATTTCAGGTAACCTAAATCAAATTGCTCGTGCTGATGGCTTTTTCTAATAGTTAAAGATAAAAAAATCCTCTGATTAACAACTTTTCAAACTATCTTTGATCTGTCTTCTTGACATTGACCGCGAGTAGGAATAATAATATATATAAAAGAGTTGAGATTAAGCTAGCGTCCCCTTTACTTCATTGACAACCAATAACCCAAAAGAACGCAAGTCACAAGGGAGGCTACGATGACGATAAAGACCTCGCAACGTTGCCACAGCTTTCAATCCACCTATCTTTTTACATTCTATCTCTATTTTTTTTACAGCTCACCCTCTTTTGGGTTACTCTCAATTTCTCTATAACGTTGAGTTTTTCTCTCAGCATATTCATGAGATTTTTTTTATTACTGTTTTACATATAGTATATAATGAGAATAAAATATACAGAATCGTATTGAATGAATATATGATTTTGTTTTAAATCCATCGAGAAATTAAAAATTTCGACGCAGATGCAGTGAAAAATAATATAGACGATAAAAAGAAACAATATCCTTGTACATATGTTTACTGCCCTCACCGAGCGCAATAAAATGTTTACAGAATGCAACAATACGTTTTTAATAATACACAAGCATCAATATGAATACTTCCCAATGCTCATTTTCATTTTTTTTTTTGATAATTTAATAACTGACTAAGGCTAACAGACATCTGATCATTTTTAGGAAAATTCTACAAAATATCCGCATATGAAAGTTTTAAAAAATTATTTTACATTCCAATTTTTGTTTCTAAAAAATCAAAAAATTGTCAATTGTCTGCTTACTTCAATGTCATAGTAAAAAATTATTAACTAATCGAAATCAATTATGGATGAGTTGAATTTATATTTATTATATTAAATATTTCAAGTACTAACCATTAGACCAGTTTCCACACTGGGAAGTAGAGTGAGGCGACTTCCATCTTGAAGACAGTTTTCTTTTAGTGTGCCTTCACGCAATTGCCTAAAACAAAAAAATAAAAAGTTATTTATATGATATTTTTTTTTCAACTTTTTAGTATTTAAATTATTAAATTATGGCCTAAAAGTTATTTTAAGAAAATATCCATTAAGTGTAAACTTTGTTCACACAAAAAGAGATAGGCATCATTGAATATAAATAACCTGTAGATAGTTGAAATTTTTTTTTCATCATAATACTTATGAGTATGTAAAATAATACTCTGGAGTAAAGTAAATCCCATCATTTTAAATACCTATCAGCTCAGTAAAAAATTACATAATATGAGCGCTTTTTTAAATATTCATAGATATTTTTCATTATAAGAAGATATTTTTTTAATCTTTTTATCACCTAAATCAATGATATCATTGTCATCTCACGGATCTGCGGTGAAGGAACTTTGTATAGCTAAATTGAATATGTATATAGTCTATTGCCAGGAAAGATATCTGTGATAGGCGTAGCTATCATAACGATGCGTATAATCATTCTGATAAAATTCTTCTCTGTGTTATTGTTTATTTATTATCAATAAATATTGCTATTCAGCTTGTTTCATAAACAATAATAAACTAATTGATCAATCTATCGATTTTTCCCTCTCTTATTTACGTCTTTATTAATTCCACTTATCTCATTCAAACAATAAAAATATTTTAGAAGAAAATACGACAAACAGGATATTGGAATAATTCATCATACACACATTTTTGTACAAAAGTAATCAATCAATAACTAGAAAATTTTCTAATTTTAGTGATCTAATTTCATATGTACTAACTTTACATTTAGTTTTATGATATAATAATATTTCAAAAAATTCAATTGACATTTATAATTTAGCAAAAAAGTAAAAAATTTTTTAAAACGAATTATAAGGATATAAGTAGTCATAAAGTAGAGATTTTTATTAACTAGTTCAATGTAAGTCAAGACAAATTCACAGCGTCACTAAAAAATTATTGAAATTTATTTTTTATTTCTGTTGGCTTGTCAGATTATTTATATCCATATAAATTACGCGTATATTTATCCATATGTATTTAGTTACTAAGATTTTAAAACACGTAATGAGTGCAATGGTTAGACTTAGAAGAGTATAAGTTATGAAAATTTTTTTGAGTTTAAACAATGTTAATTTTTTAGAAAATACCAATACATACTAGAAAATTTTGTTTCATTTTTTATGCTCTTTTTTAGCTACTTCAACTACTTAAATCTATTTCTTGATTCAGTAAATGTAATTAAATATTTACTATAATGTAGAAATATATTTTTGATTTGGAAAATGAACGAATGTTAGGATATAAAATATCCCACAAAAAACAGTTTCACTGTAAACCGTCGCGCCAAGTACACGTCCAACTATTGTTACAAACCTTGATAATTCAATTTTTACAAAAAATTATTAAATCGAAAAAAAAAAATCCAAGTACAAAAAATTTTGTAGATTAAAAAAAACG